GGATCCGATACGGCCGATGGCTACTCTCAGCGCGCGTCCACAGACGGAAACAGCTCAAGGGACTCACAGGACAACTCCAAGGTCCCTTCTTGGGAGGACGAATTGAAATCGAAGCATAGACGTCAAGGAAGCACGGAGACCCAGCGGGAGCGGGAAGAATTCGAGATCGAGCTCGCGGAACGGCGCAGGAGAGTGCAGGAAAAGCTGAGAGGGTTTGCTGAAAGCGAGAGTCGATCAGCTAGCCCGATCTCCGGGCATAGAACACCAGACCACCCCCCTCAAGCAAAGCCCGGCAACGCATTTGCCCTTTTGAAGAGCAAGAATCCGAAACATCCCTTCTTCAGCAAACAAGACCCGAAGAATGCCAAGACGGTCGGTCTCGCCAGCGCATCCACCCCAGCCTTGGTACCGGACGACCCCTGGCGAGAGGAGGACGAGAAGATGCCCTTCAGCTTCGGCAAGCACTCCAACACCAGCTCACCGCAAATCGCCGGAGAGAAGTCTATTCGATCCAGAGTGGCGGCCTTTGGCCGCGGCAGTCACGAAGGCTCCCGCGAATCGAGCCGCAGCCGTGGCGCCTCACCGCATTCAAGCATGAGGTCGCAGAGGGATCGTTCGAGCTCGGACGCCTCCGGCCGCTCCAAGAGCCGAACACGATACCGCGATCGCGATGATCTAGGGACACTGAAAGAAGATGCTGCCGGCTCCCCTGAGCCGTTCCCGCACTTTGACCCGCGAGCCGCCCCTTCGGTTCCATCCTCCACGCGTCCGTCGGTAGAGGTCAATGATCGTTCGGCATCCTACGATCGTTGCTCGTCAGCCGCATCTGGACGCTACCGCAGCGGGAGTCGGTCTGCCGCATCGAGCTACTTTGATCGACCTCCTCCGCCCTCTACCAACCCTTCCATGATTGGAGTGTCTCCTCGGCCGTCTCCAATTGCTCCTTATTCCGCCAATGCCACACCACCTCTACACGAAATGTCCCCGAATCCTTCCACGACATCTCTACCCACCCAGGCAACCGGCGCCCATCCTCTGCCTCAGCGAGCCCCAGGCCATGGCGGTCTTCAAAAGCGGGTCATCGACAAGACGCAGATCTCCGAGCCAACTTTTGTGTCTTGCACATCCAACGTGCCGACTGTGGGTCTTCCCCCAGGCGCAAGCTTAAGTAACGGCATGGAGACGCCCCCAATCCCGCCTATGAACCCACGACGACGCCGCCAGACTACCACCCAGACCATCATTGGCGCTCTCAAGGGCGAGAAGCACGAGTCGTACCATCCGGCCTCGACAGTCAGCAGCCCTCCAGAGGAACATAGCACCTTCGACGACGACAAGAACAAGCGGCCCAAATCCAAACACAACAAGCTCCGCAAGACCTCCAGCGAGGGCGTAAGCCTGAACTCCAAGGCCCGGCAACAAGCGATGGCCGCTGCCCCTCTGCCCCCTGCACCAGCTGTCCCGCAATACCCGCCGCCCAATGTCCCCATAGAAGGTGGAATGTTCTAGGCGTATTATCTCCTTGCCGAAGGTCTTTTTCACATGCCCTCATATACTTACTTTCCTTTTTTGTCTGCCTAGCATTCCGGATTTCTCAATTTCCCTCCTTATATTTCCTCGGGTATCCGATACCTCTTGATTCAGGGTTGATTCTTTTCGTCGACGACTATATACCAACTGCGTTCTCTTCTTGTTGGGCGAAATGGAATTTTTTCGTTGCTTACTGGGATTACTATTCATATATATCTTGTTTTCCATGTATCATTCAGATACCTCTTCGTTTTGAACGTCATCCACATTGAACTAGCACTGTGGTACATTGTCAATATGGACAAAATAAGACAAGTTGTGAATTTGGATGACGATAGAAAGCGTATGAGACATCTGAAACTTGTCTTATCTCTGAAGGTAAAGAGTACAACCTGAGATGGGTGAGGTGAGCGTTATTTCACGTTGAGGTGAATCACGTGGTGAAAATTAGCCCTCTCTCCCGATTAGTACTTCAAGAGAATGAAAGAGAGATGATAGGACATATCCTTCGCACATGAAAGATGCAAGCTAGATTTGAAACGTATTGTGTAGTGTTAGAAGGGTTGCCTTTTGACTGCATTGCCAGTGAAGCTCAGTCCAAGTCTCAGACCAGATGACATCGCTATAGCGACCAAGCAGTAACAGACCAAGAGTTCTCTTCATACATCAACACATTATATGCTCTTCATCCTTTCCACATTTCACATAAATTTTCCATCCTCAGATTCCTACTTCATTCATAGGGAATATACCCCTAACCCCAAACATATCTTCCATCTTCCTTTCCTGACTGCCTTCCAACAGATAAAGGAAACAGAGTGGAAGAAGGCTATGCTTAGGCGCTACTCCATCTGCATCACTGATTTGCCATCTTGCCCTCAGGTCTCCGGATCCGCTGGCGAGCCTTCGTTCGACTATCGCGATCCCAACTGCAGATCTGCCCTGTGCAGAAACTGCTGCTCAGTTCCCCTCATGGCGTCGATGGTGCTCCCGCAGTTAGACGGATACGCAGAGAACCGCAGGGCCAAGAAGAACGCTCATAAGAAGAAGAAGAAAAAGAAGAAACAGAATAAGAAGAAGCAGTCATCACAGGGGGACTCCAACGCGCCGAGTTGCAGCGAGTCTCCTCCGTCGTACAAGAGTACGGCTGACGATGCTTATGCTGCCCTGTCGCGCGCTCCGTCTTCTGTGGATACGCTGCGCCTCCCATTGATTGTTGATGGGGCGTCCTGGGGGGAGAAACATGCCCAGGCTCAGAGTCAGTGTGAGTGAGAGTTTTGAATGTTATTCAGTGGAGAAGGATGGTCCTGATCGTTCGCTCGTAGATGCCTACGGTGTTAATCATCCCGCTTCGCACTCCTACCATGACACCACTTTCGTCACACAAACCTCCGCTGCGCCTTTGCATTCCCCTTCCATTGCCGCAACTACTGAAGAGACAATCCGCGCCTCGAGTGTGCAGAGTGGGAGCCCTGGGGACGTGGGCCTCTCTTCCTCGGCCCCCAAGAAACTCCCGTATTGCCAGGTTCATGGAACGGCAACCTGCCGGTTCGATCCCGCATGCTGTGTTCACAGGACCCGGGCCGATTGCGACTGCCCGCGTCGGCCCTCATGCTGCTGTGTCCATCACGCTGGAGATTGTTGTACCTGCGTGTACACACCGCGGAGCGGATATGTCAATGGAGCGTACAGCTTGATAGGCCATGATTTGCCATCGTATGCGCCGCACCCAGTGTCCAAGAACGGGGAGGTGGCTTCAGCGGATCCCAATGACATATCTAAAAACTGGCCGTTAAAGGATAACGGAACGATCTCTAAGGATGCCGCTGAAAATGGAGGTGAGTCTCATCGAGTGAGTTATAACATGGCTAGCCTGGAGGCTAATGGTGTCCCGCAACTAGTCGCAAAGAAGCATCCTGAAGCCGCTACAGTGTATGACGACGGTCCCCTCGCCGCGTACGTCCTTCGCCTCTATGACAGCGAGGAATTTCACGACTGCCGGATCCTCTTGGAGTCGGGCAAAGACAACTTCCCACCGATCACCATCCGCACACACAAGGTGTTGATCGCCCGTAGCCCTCTTCTCGCTTCGATTTTGAAGTCATCTGCAGCCAAGCAGGATATACCCGAAATAGTAGCGATGGCAGGAGAGAACTTCTTATTAGTCAAGGCGTTTGGAATTGCGCTTCAGAGTCTGTACGGGTTGGCGCTCCTGAACCAGAAACGGCTCAGATCCATGACACTCTTCAGTCTGGGTTACACCGAAGAGAGTATCAAGTCGTCTCCATACCCAATCAACACGGCACTGGCGGATTTCGCCATGTGCTACGCCAGCTCCGGGGCTTTCCTTCAGCGGCGTGATATTGTCGGAATGGGTATCAAGCTGATTGTGGAAGTCATCAACTGGGACAACATCGAATTGATCTTCTACTTTGGCTTCTGCATATCCAAGTTTCTCATCACTGCTCCTCAGATCGCAGAGCTTGAGAAATCCCAAATCATCGACAACCAGGGAACACCATCCAAGGTCAACGACGCCAATGACGAGCTCCAGACCAAGTGGGCTGCGCATCTGCTAACCGCCGCGTTGGACTTTGTCGTCAATCGCATGGAATCCGACTTCACCTTGTTCCCTCAGGCCCACTGCAAAGGCATGCCCGACCGGATCCCGAATACCTACACTCCTCTCCAACACCTTCTCTCCCCAACCCGAAACTGGCAGAGGTCAAGTTCGGTTCCTTCGCGGCTCTCGAGGAACAGAAGCAAAGCACGGAGATCGTGACCACCTCCGCGGTGCTCGTATGCCTGCCCTTCAAGCACTTGAAAGAAGCTTTTGTCAAGATGCACGCACGCGGGATTCTGTCGAGTAGCCTGGCCCAGGCGATCCTGCTAGAGCGGGAGCAACGACGGGTTCAGGCCCTGCGTGCGTTTGCTCGGCTGAGGGCCCAGAACAGCGAGCAGGAGATCCCGGCGGAGATAATCGAGCTGGGGTATCGGGAGTTCTTTACTTCGAGGAACGTCTTCTCTGATACCGAGGATGACTCGCCTACCGCATCTTTGGAGATTTCTCTGGAAAGGGAATGGATTGGGTTGGCTGTTGGAGAGGTGGTCGTCAAGCACAGAGTGATTAAAACGGCAAAGGGATAGATCCTCTTGCGTTCCCATCTACCACCGAGTTAGTGTCTGATTTTTACATCTCGTGATCTAAGGAACAGGACTGGCAGTGAGCTGAATAATTGGCAGCGGGTGAGTTATTAGGAAAAGCAGGAAGACTGACTTTGATGGAGGGTGAGTTGACATTGCTTCTGCTCTTGGTTACTATCTGATTGACATGTGCCATAGCTTGTTTTTGTGGATTTACTGTTCTGAAAGGAGTATCTGTCGATTTTTGAACATCTCCTTTTGGCAAGATGTCTTGAGTACTGGAGTTCTTATCCATAAATTCAAAAAAAAAAAAAAAAACCCCCCAACTGATCTGTACGAGCTTCTCTCTATACAATGCTAGATTCTAGACATGCAAGGACCACTGTTTATTCATTATATACAATCTTCGTTGACAGTACAACCGCGTTGCTCGGTCTAGGGCGGCGATAGGAAGAAAGCCGCTTACGACTTATCCGGGAAGCCAAAATCAACACCGAAAGGAGGATAGACGAATCGCTGGAAGGCCTTCTTCTCGGCGAGTTCGTTTGTGTACTTGGCGATCGTAGCCATGTCCTCATCGTCGAGCTTGATCAGGCTGGTGCGGTTCTCTTCGATACGGGAAGGAGTGACGGACTTGGCCAGAACAGAAGATCCACGGGCGACTATTGCAGTAGATTGTTAGTGGGTTGCAGACAAGAAGGGAAATTGTAATTGGCAATGGAAACGTACTGTGCCAGCTGAGGAGAACGCTGGCCGGGCTGGCTCCTCTCTTCTTCGCAACCGCGACAATGGGCTCTGCGGTAAACAAGGGCTTCCTGTGCTTCCCAGAGGGCTGTATGCGGTGATGTGAATCCCCTTCTCCTTGCAGAAATCTACAATCTCCTGTTGAGGAAGAGATGGGTGGTTCTCGATCTGGTTGACGGCCGGAACAACAGTCACCTCGGGCAGTAGCTGCTCGAGGTACCTCTTGCTGTAGTTGGAGACACCGATAGCCTTGGTTTTGCCGGTAGCCAGCAGCTTCTCCATGCTCTTCCAGGTGGTGATGTGGGAGTGGGAGTGGACGATGTCCCGGGAGCCATCGGGGTGCTTGGGGAACAGCTCATGGTTTCCTTTAAAACCATTAGTCTCCTCTGTGGTTGTCAAAGAGCTGTAACGTTCTTACCCTCAGGGTTCATGGCCAAGGGCCAGTGCATCAGGTAGAGATCAACGTAGTCCAAGCCCAGGTTCTTCAAGCTCTTGTCCAGAGCCTCTTCGACGCGTGTATGGTATGTGCACCACAGCTTGGTGGTGACAAAAAGATCCTCACGCTTGACCTTTCCAGATTGCAGCGCCTCTTTGATGCCATTGCCGACCTCTGTTTCGTTCTGGTAGCAGTAGGCAGTGTCGATGTGTCTGTATCCCACCGAGATAGCATGACTGACAGCCCTCTCAACCTCTCCAGGCTTCGATTGCCATGTTCCTGTCTTGAATAAGCTTGCCTGTTCACTGCGGACGAACGTGGGGGAACAACATACCCAGACCCAAGGCGGGGATCTCCGCACCAGTGTTGAGCTTGAAGCGAGTTTCGTATACAGCCATGATGATTCTTTTCAAGTGACGATGGAAGTGAAAGGGCGCAATATTGTTCTTTGATATTGTAGATAATGAGACAAGAACGAGAAAGGAACGAAGAGTGTCAAAGAGTGGAAAGGATCAGGATTCAGACACGTAGGAGAATAGCTGCCCCTCATAGGTATAAAGGACACCCCGCGCGCCAAAGCGGACGGACCAGACGCCGGAGTTTCTCCATCAATCAGCACCAGCGTGGGGTCGGTCTATCTTTACGGCGACAATTCCCGAGATGAATGGCATCATCTCTACCGAAGATATCATTATTATGAGAATTATTACTTTTGTGAGAGGCTTACAAGTTATACGTCAGCTGTCTATGATCTGCTACAGAATGATCGATGGACATGGTGGATGACGAGAATTTCCAGTCTCCCTCCGCTGGCTGTCCCCAGTCATCTTACTATCGCCATTTTCTGACCTCTGCGGACTCAGCAGACAAGATCTAACTAACTAGATGAGCCATCTGCTGATGCTGCAGTCTCTCATTGAGAGCTGACAAGGGTCAGAGAACTGTTCACTTCCACCCCGCCAGACCATGTGAATTGTTATCAGGGCAGAAACAAAGACAAAAGTCAACGGAATTTGACAGTGGGACGAAGGTTGAGGAGAATTCAAGAAATAGCAGAGAATTCCGTTATAAACGAATGATGTTCTGGGGCCGTGCCAATCCATGGATTAACCCCGTCCACCCCACGCGGAGTCTGTCATCATCATAAACACATCCAGGGACTCGGGAAGAATGCAGCAATGGTTCTCGGAAACCAGAATCCTTAAGACTGTGGCCACAACGGCCGACATCCGAACTTTGCCCCGCGGTTATGAAGTCAGCAGACATGGAACATGGGCCAGTACCGAGCCAGATATACTCAACAATGGTCAGCATGATTTACGCGGCGTCTCCACTAATGCCCGCATACTCCAGACTGAATGGCTGTCCCTGAACCCCCTGGTCCAGATCTATGTCTTCGATCTGCCCTATCCTTGCAGCTGTGGAGATTTGTCTGGAGCTAATCAGATTGTCATGGATTCTCGAATATGCGGAAGCCAGAATCCGTGCGTTCATGCTACTCCCAGTCAGACTTTTGTCGAATCAGTCCATATTCACCGTTGTGGGTTCCGTTTCAGGAAATTTTCAGCATGTATTCACGTCGGGTCATGGATTCCCACGGGCACGTGGCGTTGAATCTATTGGTATTCGTGCTGAACAGTAAATAAGGTGCCTATATACCCGGCCACTGCTACTGAGCAGTGAATACTCTCCATCGATCATATAACAACATCGCGACACCCATTGCATCTCTTCTTCCTTTCTTCCAAAGCACCATCACCCGTTCCATCCATCTCAATCTTGATCAAGAAGCAGTACAAAAGAGTTCTTTCATCTAGCCTTCTTTATCTACACACAATGGCACCAGTTGCGATGAGCCCCGAACCCGCGGCGTTCAACACCAAGCGCGATGGACAGGCACTCGAAGACCTGTCCGACGCTATCGACACGGTCAACGTCCTCAAGGACGAGATGAAAAAAGAACGCGGATTGTATGAAGAATCAGAGTTCGACAAGAACAAGGACAAGTCTCAATTCCGGCAGTACGAGGATGCTTGCGACCGCGTGAAGAACTTCTATCGCGAACAACACACAAAGCAGACAGTTGCCTATAACCTCAAGGCTCGCAATGACTTCCACTCCAAGACCCGCGCTGAGATGACCATCTGGGAGGCCATGGAGAAGCTGAACACTCTCATTGACGAGTCTGATCCGGACACCAGCCTCTCGCAGATCGACCATCTGCTACAGTCAGCCGAGGCCATCCGTCGCGATGGAAAGCCCAGATGGATGCAGCTGACCGGTCTCATCCACGACCTTGGCAAGCTCCTCTATTTCTTCGACGCTCAGGGACAGTGGGATGTTGTCGGAGACACCTTCCCAGTGGGCTGCGCATTCGACGACCGCATTATCTACGGAAAAGAGTCTTTCAAAGAGAACCCCGACTACGACCATGAGATATATGGCACCAAGTACGGAATTTACAACCCTGGCTGCGGTCTTGACAACATCATGCTCTCCTGGGGTCACGATGAGTACCTCTACCACGTGGTCAAGGACCAGTCCAGCCTCCCTGATGAAGCCCTTGCCATGATCCGTTACCACTCCTTCTACCCCTGGCACCAGGCTGGCGCCTACCATGAGTTCATGAACGAGAAGGACCAGAAGATGCTCCAAGCCGTTAAGGCCTTCAACCCCTACGATCTATACAGCAAGAGCGACGATGTCCCGTCAGTCGAAGAATTGAAGGTGAGCTTATCCATCCTCGCATTCCACATCCAGAGTCATATAAGCTAACACATATTTCACAGCCCTACTACCTCGACCTCATCGACGAGTTCTTCCCAAAGAAGGTGATCAAGTGGTAGACATCTGTCGTCTTGCATCTTGAAAAAAATGTTCATCTCATTTGGATTTCGGCGTTCCGTTTTCATTCTTTCATACACCTTCTCCCTCATTTGACGAAAGCGATGGATGATTTTACGACTTGATTACATGCGATTACATGCATGCATGCTTCTTCGACATTTAATAGATGTTTTGTCTTTGTTACCTGCCCTCCTGAGCGAGGACTCTAGATTAGCTGCAGGCACAGTTTAATGCAGTTCTACTCTCTCTTGTATACAAGCAGAAAAATACTTCAATGACCTTTTCTTTATTGCAAGATCTACTTCGTGATTGTAGTATTCGTTTTACGTGGCAAGCATAGGAATAATCCCTGATATGCACAGCTCTTGCTTTTCAGCATATATGACTTCATATGCTTTTGTATCTAATGCATCCCATTGCATGTTGTCGACGAAACGGGGTCTCGGAAATAAGGTTCCGGGTGGGTGGCGGGGAATAAACGATGAAATCTCTTTTCCCCTACGATCTACGAGAGGTAGTCTTTGTGGCAAATTGACGAGAGGACAAGTCTGTGTTGCAGAGATTTAAATTTGATCTTCAGATAAAGGGGTTATCATTGGTAGGACACGAAGTATCCCAAAGGCGTCTCGTAGTTCAGTTCGTAAATTGATGTCTAATCTATATACTATGCAATCATGCAATTACCAGAAATAGATCAATGGTTTAAAGCCTCGGCTTATCGACACGATTGCCGGCTTCATCAAAGAAAATCTTCTGACCGGTAATCAGAGATTCTTGGAGAGCGCATCCTATCCGAACAGCTTGGACAGCACCCTCGAGCTTCACAGGGACGTCTTTGTTGTCCAGGCATGCGGCCGTGAACTCGTTAGCCTCCGTGACGAATGCGTACTCAAAACGGTCGTAGTAGTTCTGCGGAATCTCTCGACGCACGCCGGTGCTGTCGAAGATGTTGACATGGTTCATGGCCGGCTGAGTGTTGACCGAGAGCTTGCCCCGGGTGCCGATGATCTCGGTGGTATCTTCCTGGCCCGCTGCCATCATGCGCGAGGCGTAGAAGTACGCAATCTTGCCATTGTAGAACTCGACCAGACCCACCGCGTTATCGCGGTCGTTGTGTTTGCGGAGGTCCGGCTCTACCGCCGTGATGCCCACGGCTGAGACGGACTTGACCTTGCTGTCCTGGCCGAAGAACCAGAGCGCCAGATCGATATCGTGGATCGAACAGTCGACGAAGATGCCGCCGGAGAACTCCGCGTAGGCAACGAAGAAGCCGGTGGGGTCGAGCTTGTCGCAGGTCTGGCTGCGCATCACGGACGGCGAGCCGATGGAGCCCTGGGTCATCTTCTTGTGCGCGTCGCGGTATGAAGCGTCGAATCGCCGGGAGAACCCGCACATGACCTTGAGTTCGGGCTTTCGGGCGGCTGCGTCGAGGACGGTTTGTGACTGGCAGGCTAAGTGTCAGCTGAAAGTTGCAGGACAAAAAAGGGTGCAAAGGATCTTACAATCTCAACACTTGTGGACAGCGGCTTCTCGCAGAGGACATGCTTGTTGGCGTCCATAGCTTTGATTGCCTGTTCCGCGTGCACGGCAGTGGCAGAAGCCACAACGACAGCTTCGAGGCCTTCGTGCTTGAGCATGTCGTCGTAATTTTTGTACAGCTTCACTCCGAAGGGGGCAAGGTGAACCTTTGCCCACTCTAGTTCTGCATCGTCCGGGGAGCTGGCAGCAACCAATTCTGCTCGCGGCGTGCGCTCCAAAAAGTTCAGGGCATGGCGCTTGCCCATGCGACCGAGACCTGCGCAGCCAACCTTCAACTTTCTGACGGACATTTTGGGAGGAGAGAAAAGGATGAGTGAGATAATAGGCTGTGCAAGGTTGAAATTGGTAGATTTCAGGTCAATTGGTCAGTGAAGGACGAGAATAATGGAAAGAAACACACCCAGATCAGGGACGAGCAAGAAGACTTAAATCAGCCAGGAGATCCTTTCTATGCTCTAAGAACTGCAGACCGCTATGTCTCCTGCGTCTGATTGTTGGACAGGCGACACCGAAGTCTCTTACCCCACACAAGGAGGAGAACTCGTGCAACTCAGGTTGGAGAGGTCAAAAGGCCCAAATAGGCGAGAAAGTCCTCTGGCATTTCCATTACTGATGAGCTTTGGACCAGGAAATAGGAACCCAGATCTGAATAATGACTTCCGGCAGTGCTACATTATTGGAGTAGTATCCAGATTGTTCCAGAGTAGTTATCCACTTTGGAGCACCAGCGGGGAAAAGGTCGGAAAAGAGCTTCCATTGCCGATTTGCTCCAGCGGATGCCTGAATCAAGCAACTTTCCCCGCTTCAGGATGCGCTATGGGTATGATCTCCTCCGTGGTGCCTTAAGTTGCGATCTATGGAGAGCTGACAAGAGCTTGAGCCATTCAACAATCCTTGATGCTGTTTGTCAGCTAATCGATCCTGGTTGGGACTTGAGCATAAGCAATGGGACGATGCGCTAGTCGCCATGATAGAGGCACAAGAGCAGCGACGTTACTGCCTTTTTTTCAGACATACTCCTTAGAGCTATGTCGAGATAATGAAGCCTATCATTGCTCCGTTGTAGTGTAACGGCTATCATACCTGTCTTTCACACAGGAGATCGGGGTTCGATTCCCCGCAACGGAATACAGTGCTTTTGTTTTTGTTCATCTTCCTATCAACTGGCCAAATGGTGCGTTCATTGTCTCATTGATGCTCCCATTGTGCCACGAGCCTACAATGAATCAACATCACTGCATAGTTAACCAGTATTCTGCCTAGGACTCAAAAGTATGGACAGAGCCAGATATCTCCTGCCAGTGGCATGGCCTTTCACATGCTCACCGCCGGACTTTCTCCATTCCCCGCAGAGCTGTCCGCATGGTTTGGATCGTTCTAGCAGTATGGGTGCGGTCTTTGAACGCTCTACTCGTCTTTCGTCAATTAAAGGTCCTGATTGGACAGACTCTGGTGATACATTGTGATGGCGTTCTGAATTGCTTTCAGCTCTCACGAAAGAATCTCTTCCATTCGGCGCATAAACTCTTACCCACGCGTCATCCGTCGCGTCCTGGTTGGAGTAAGAGCAGAGCTTAGCTTCTTCAAAGCTGTGTGCACGAGCCGCCATTTCTTCGTTCTAGGTAGGTCAGTAATGATTGTTCGAGAAATCAAGATGAATTATCTCACTCACATGTCTATAGATTCCTCATCTCTCAATCTTCGGCCCCTCGTACAGTCACCTCGCAATACCCGGCATGGACTCGCCGCGTCCCCGTAACTGGAACCAAAAGTTATTTGCCACGTATTTGGGCGGGACGGACAAGGAGATCCACGAGTTGAGGCGCGTCCTGACGCAGTTGATGAGCGCGCATGGCAAATTGGACAAAGGGTACAAGTCGAAGGCTGCCAGAACGGAACTGCAAGAGTGGATACAGTCGAACTTGCACCGACTGCCCGGCTTCGTCCAAGATGCCTGTTTCAACAAGACCCGGATGGACGGGCTAATGGGGATGGCCTATAAGATCAAGAACGAACATGTACATTATCTTGCGGCACGCGGAAGACCGAGCCAGGCCGTCGAACACCCATCGAGCACCGTCGACCAGGGCAGCAGCGTTGTCCCCGCAAGTCAGAGAGTCGAACGGGAGGATAATCGTGAGGTGGATCGGCCCATCAGCAGTATTCCCAGCAATGTGGTTGAGCAGCATGCCAATACAGTCGAAGAGGCCGGGCCTGCAGTCCCTGTGCAGGAGGAGACTGTCGCCGAGCCCCCGAGCAAAAAAGCCAGGACAACACCGACTCAAGCTGCTCCACTCCAACCTCCCCTGCCAGATTTACTCTCCCGGAACATATGGGTTCTGAACGAAGTGAATCCCGCTCAGCATGGCCTTTGCTCGATGCAAGACCTTCTTACAACCCCAGAATCGCGCAAAATCGATTTCATCCCGCGGCTCATTGACTTGGACTTTGACCATTGGCTCTCGATAGTTGAGGCGCAATGTGGCTATGACTTTACTGCGCATCGTTTGGAATATCGCCCTCCAGCGAACGTGGTGTCTCGCTCGCTGGGCCTACCACCGATCACGATACCATTGTCGACTCAAAGTCAGTGGCGTGGTGCGATAAACTCGCAGATCCATGCCGAAGGTGGCCGGGATCCTGTTTTTTATTTGGTTGCACAATGTGAGCGTGATTACATATAGCCTGAATGTCAGGGTCACTAACCGGAGGCCAGCAGGAGAAGATGTACAAAACCAATCAACGCCTCCGCTACCTTCGCCTTCCTCTGCGAACAATGCTTCCCGCGCTCGTCCCCTCTTGTGGTCAAGCAAGAATACGTTGAGGAACAGCTAAGGCTCACAGGAATGCAATAATTGATGCTCCTGACGCAGTGCCGGGCTATTTGGGTATCATAGTGGTATCGAAAGACCAGCTGCCGATGTGAAAAGTTCACTCACATTCTAACACACTCTATTCGCCTGAGCGCAGATCGCCTTTCATCATATCCCTTACGATGGTTGTTGTTCAGAATGCCTAGACGTAACACATATTCATCGCTATGGGACTAAGATACAGAAACATATCGCCAAGGAGCAAGAGAATCGAAAGCGAAACAGGAGTCAAGTGAAGTGGGAGCAGTGCATATGCGAATTGATGGGAAAAAGGACGCTCAAGACCACGGCTTCGAGTACATCACCCTCGTGACTCATTGCCAGATTGCTTCTGAGTAGATGCCTTCTTGGCCTTCTTCTTCGCCGCAGCCTCCACAGGGTCAACGAAACCATCTCCTCGCAACCACGCCAAAGACTTTCTGACACCTTTGCCCTGGACAGCGGATGGTCTGTTCTCCAGCAAAGAGCCCATGACCGCCCAGGCGAGGACAATGATCCACAAGTCTCCACCCTTCCAGCCTTTCCAAAGGCCATGTTTGACACCAACATCCCACTTCGAGCGCACGGCCAGCCGGAAGAAGTACATGAAGATGCTACGACTGTTTTCTAAGAAGGCAAATGGCATGCCTGCAACTGCACCGCTGAGGAAGAAGCGCTTCGTGGGGAGGACGGAGCGTGGCAGGATAGCATTCCAGAGACACAAGGTGCCCCATGCAGACCCAGCCGCAGCGGACAGAATGGCTGTCAGCTTGATGATCTTCTTTGAAAGGTTATTCACCGCCGAGATTGGGTGAGACAAGATTGTCTTGAATTTGAGCACCGATAGTGCCAGGGTGACGGTAGTCAGGAACCGAGCTAGGGGTGGCACTGAGAGGAGAATATGATGCAGGAATGCTGTGCCGCAGCTGGGGCTGCTCGGGTGAAGCAAAGCACATGCCAGGTTAGAAATAGATGGGTGCGCGGGCCCAGTTATAGGTGAAATGAACTTGACTGCCGATGGCAGAGTATTCGGGTCGGCAGGGTGCAGAATCGGCGAAATAAATGCTCTGTCGCGTTATAGAATTAGTAAATTGCATACCATATGCCTTCCATAGTAATGCAGGACTCACGGCCATCGCAACCTGGCAATATTTGCCAGTGAATCGACCACAGCTTCCTTGTCCGGCCATGGAAATCCCGCCGGTAGAGTCTCTGGTCGACCGCGGATGTAGCTGGGGGACAATCTGAACAGAATGTTTCCGAGCCACTAAGCATCAATCAGTAAATGCCTTCTCAGGCCAGAAGCTCTCATAGAGTCCGCAAACACGCAGAGAACATACCTTGGGCACAGTCTCGCGATCAAAAACAAACGCGTGGAACAGCTGCGCACACGACACAGGCATCAACAACCAGCTCCCGAACCACCAAGGCCGGTCCCCAAACCACCCTTTCTCGTCCAGCGCATTGAACACAAACTCCATCGTTCGCGTCCCCGCATAAATAGCCGCCGTAATCCGCAACTGCGTCTGCGGACAGATGCCCAGCGCGAAACCGGCCATACTTGCCCCGACGGCAGGGGCATACCGCGACGTCAGCGCCCTTGAGACGCGCGGGTTACGCTCGCGGAACGGCCTCGCGTCATCTGTGCGAAGGTTTGTGCGGAGCTTGACGAAGAAGCGATGGAGGAAACGGTGGAGGAGGACGACAAGGGAGAGCGAGAGGGAGAGACGGAAGTTGGGGGAGTGCAGGATTGAGGAGCGGGGTTTCTTCCTAGCATTGGAGCAAAGCGTCAGTGTTAGCGCTCTTTACTAACATTCTGGATTTTGTTCCGGCGATGTTGCACAACTTACTTGGACAGATCACCTTGGATGCGGCGGACGATGGCTTCTACGAGCTTCAGTACTCCGCCGGAGACTAGGAAGACTCGCAGGGAGGCCCGCAGCGCGGCTTCATTGTGCTTGTTCTTTGATCGGACGATGGTTTCATATCGAGATGGCGAGGGAGCATTGTCTTGGATGGAAGGAGGTGTGCGCTGGATGATGTATTCGTGGAGGAGCTTGTATTCCTTGGCGCTCAGGGTGATGCGGAGAGCGTTGCGAACGAGAGGATGAGCGTCTGCGTCGGCGGGCGTCATGGTTTCATCGACTTCGGGTAAGCATCAAAATAGATGCTTCACCGCTTGGAATAGAGTCGCGAACAGAGGGATGAGACAGAGGAGAGGTGAGGATGCAGAAGGAAACGAAATGAATTGCCCAGAATTTCTCCGCTTCTTTGGTGGAAGCTGAAGTCACGGACCGCTGGCGACCTCGGCTTGTGAGTGGATGCTCATGCAAGTGCCACTCATAGAACAGTCGGTCGAAACGAACTGCAGGAGAACAGTTGATTCAAATAGCTTTAAAGATTCACAACTGTAATGATGTCTATCGCAGGACATTTATGCTGCTCTACTCCGTGCGAGTGTCAACAATCATTAAACCACATACAGATCCCTGAATGTCCCCATTTCCTCGGGAAAACTGCTTACGACGACGCAGCATCGAGAATGAGGCAGTCGAGAAGAGTCGGAAGAGTCGGAAGAGTCGGAAGAGAAAAACGTAATAACGGCAAGAAGACATACATACAAAAAAGGGGAAGAAAGGGGGAATATCAACGCCGTGCAAGAATCCACCGTAACACGATGCGCGCCATTATAAGACTCCAGAAAATTCAGACTGCAAAAGGAAGATCACCAGAAACTACACCATCCAATCCAATGCTGACATATGTTCTCCACGCTCGTTGCCTGCGCGAGAAGTTTGTCCACTTGATCACTCACATTGAGCTCTTCAGTGGGCTTGAAGTCTCTACCTGTGAGCTTCTCCTTGACCCGAGCAAGCACCTGCACTGCTCGTGCATTCTGTGCCTCACGGGCTTCGGGCGGAATGCCCTCCTGGACATCGAGGATACCACCGTCGAGAATGGATGGGCGACGGTGACGGGAGAAATTGCTGGGCTGAACGCCATGTTCAAGATTCATGACGGACGTAATCGACTGTCGGCGCTCAGTGCTGAACGGCGGCCGTTCTGGTGACTCGCGAATGTTCAGACGCCAGTTGATCAAGGGATCGTGAATGAACTATAGTAAAAAATCAAATGTTAGTTTCAAAATACCATCTCGTGAAATATTGAGTTAAAAAAGTGACAAAACGTACTGCTTCCAGAACGGCCATAAGGGAATCCTTGTTGTCTCTGATCACGCGCATAACAGCCTCGCAAGTGATACGGTAGCTTCCCTCGATATTGCTGACTTCCATGGCGAAAGTCAACATGCGAGTTAACCGGAAGGGCACCCTCTCTGGATACTTCTCACGGTGCATTGCCACCTCGAAGCAGTCACCGAAATCGATATGGACCACTCTTCCGGTGGCGCGCTCCAGCAGAAGGTTGGACGGATGACGGTCACCCAGACCCAGAATATAGCCCACCATCGACATGACTCCCAGAGATCTTGTATAATTCGTCCGACGCTCAAGCCAGGCCTCGGAACTCTTACTTTTGAGCCATAGAACACGATACAGATCCTTTCCAGTAGTGTTGTCCATGGCGTATCCGAAGACCTCGACCTTTTGCATCAGAGTGAGATTGTCATAATCTGGCGCCATCTGCAGCATAATACGATGTTCGATATTGAGTAGGATGCGGCGACTTTCACGGTACTCTTTGATCAGCGCATGTAATGTATCGCTGTTGCAAACCCATCCTATCAGACCGGAGTTCTGAGACAAGGGGATTGCAGGGAAACGCTGGACGGAAAGATGTCGCTTGAAGCTTTCGCCATCGTTATCAAGTAAGGTGTTCACAAGTCCGAACAACTGCATGACTCTCTCGTCTTGCCGAATGTCCTCATGTCCCTTAAGGGCATACATGTAGGAGCTTCCGTTGCTTCCCTTCAGAGTCATGCGTCGAGGTCGCTTCTTAGTTTGAAGCACGTGCAATATAGGATCAAAGCTGATGATCCGGATGATTGGTTTGCCACTCTGGTAGGTTCCGGGAACAGCAAGGGCAAGGTCATGACAGTCCTTGAGCCTGGGAGAGACGTATTTGAGGTCAAGAGTCGACAACTGTGGGAGCTGCCGGCTGATCTTGCGGAATACAGTATAGTAGAGATCCCAAGCTTGGTTGAGATCGCCAATTTCTTCCGTCTCACGATACAGCATACAATAGTGCTTCGCTTCTGCAAGATCCCGTCCAAACGCCTGGGCGAAAGAAACCTCACGCAGCGTTTCCGCACCCTTGTCAAGCATGTCATGCAGTGGCGCCAGAGTTGCAAACATGCCCTCCACATCATGGTCACCGAAGTAGAGTCGAGAGGCTTCCTCCAAGCCTTCATGCCAGAGTTCGTGCCACAGAACCGCGACTCGAATCAATTCATGACTGACAAGATCGGCTTGCTCGACTAAAGTAGCACTGTGCTGCCGCATACTATCCATAATGGTGCTGGCGGATTGAGAACGGCGGGTAATGTGCGATTTCATCGCAACGGTTAATGGGTACACCAGCGCCTGCGGATGGGCCTTGCCCACTTCGGCCAGGAGGCGATGAACAGCGGTTCGGACCTTGAGGTTTGGCTGGTTGATACGAGCGATGAGTTGTGGAGTTACCGCAAGCCAGGTGTCAATGTTCACTGCGGTGAAGCCTTCTGTGACAACATTATTAACTTCTTGGTCACCGCCGTAATTGAACCAAAGAGTCAGCAGTCTCAGGGTATCCTGGAGAGACGAGGTGGACGACAAAGCGATTGATCTGAGGAAGCCTCCAATGGCAGGTATGACATGCTCTGTCACAATATGGCCAGGGACTACGGGCTTGATACTCCCGTCCCTGCTTGTCTGACCGGCAATCGTTGTCACGACTTCGAAGTTGGCCAAAGCCCAGGAATGCCAGGCTTTGTACGAGTCGCGGTTGTATTTCGTGGCAGCAGAATATGCGCCAAGAACCTCGCGAACGTGTTCGGGCTTCCAGTCGCCTCGTTGCAAAGTTGTCTGCCACTCTCCCTGCCTAAGATAACTCTTAGAAAGCAGCTTGCGGAACTTGGCTACATCGCCAATACGTTCACGGAGACCCATCATATCCGCATGATTTGCCTCTGTAATTCCGTTGACACCATTGATTCCGTTATGATCGGACTGTGATACCATGAGCGTGTTAAAGCGATTCAAGTCATCCGTCAGATTTGCTGTGAATTCTTTTAGCATCTGAAGAGCTTCACGCTGGCGACCAGTAGCCCAATTGAATTTCAAGCGAGCGTAGGTCACTTCGGGAGGAGCGATAGTCCTTGTGCCATTGTTGTCAGTGACAACAGTCTCCAAAGATGCAAGAGATCGCTCGGCAAGTCCCATGCGATTGGATTTACGGCAGAGGTTGGCAAATTTGATCCACATATCAAGGTTTTCGCGGGGTGAAGTGACGAGCGCCCTGACCTTGAGCATGCGTTGCCATACTTCAACGTTCTGTTGGCAGCCGAGCAACCTCTTGTTCCATGTCTGACGCATTGACTCCTGCTTCTCAGGGTCCCCAATGTTCTGTTTGTAGGTGATGATCTCCTCCAATTCAGCAAGCATCTGAACACGGACGACAACGTTGTAGGCACGGTTATATGACTCTCCGAGTAAAGCTGATAGTTCCGTGTCGAGGCCGTTCCGAGCTTTCTCAATGTACATTGTCGCCTCGTCAAATTGATTTCGATGGATCGCGAGAATTGCACCGAAGAAAGACCTATCCGGGGATTGCTCTTTCATCACACCCAAGTAGGAATCCATCAGCTCCCATTGACCCCGTCCCCATGCTGCTGCTGCTGCAAGGGGAGCAATGGCTCTGCGATGTTCTAGCGAAGCCTGGTTCCACTTCTCTTGGGCGAGGTCAGATAATACCTTCCACTCGCCAAGCGCATGCAGGCACCGCATTTTGCCCATAGTGACACCAAACGAGTCTGGATCAATTTTCTCACGGCGTTTGTAAGCAGCAAGTGCCTCCTCCCATCGCTGAAGTTTCTCAAACCATGTCTCCTTCAGCTCTACATCCCTGTAGGCTTGGGCTTTGCGAAGGATACCAATAGCGGCGTCAGACTGCTGAAGCTGGTTGTTAATGGTGATCAGAGCCTCCACGGCGCCGGAGTTCTGGTCTTGCTCGAATTCCAGCTCTTTATAATGGAGTGCCTTGGCAAATGCATGACACTTTGCGGCGTACTTGCCAAGTGTACGAATATCAATGGGAAGAGCCTTATCATCATGCTCCATAAACTCAGCAAGATTGAGAAGTATTTGGAGTATCTCAGGAGGGATATTGGGTGAAGTAAGAGCCTTCTCAATTGAGCGTACTAGCTCTTCTTGATACTGATCGTACAGCTCCGTCCAGCAGGATACAAATGCTGCGTTAAAGAGGTCCCTTGCTAATGGCAGGTAGATACCAGCCAAACTGGCGCATGCTCGGAGTGCTGGTGAAGGTGATTCTTTCAAAAGCTCCACGCTGAATCTTCGTATCCATTCCTGCCAGTCTTCACGCGTTGACTTTTGAGAGGCATCCCAAGCATTCTTCAGATGTTGCTGATTCACAACCATCTTCTTCTGGCCGATGTCAGAATAGCTAGATTCATCCGCCAGTGTACCCGTAGTCTCATCGGGATTCAAGTCCTGTGGCAGCGGATCGCCCTTTTGGAGCTTGGAAACTAGAATCTGGTAATTGACATGATTGATCTGGTGATGCGTCAAGACCTTGTTCAGGAGATTTATGTAGTGGCAGAAATCTTGGCCGAGCTGGAAGATAAGAGCACAGATACAGTCCATGGCTGCTTGTCTTAAGGTCCGGTCGTTGCCTGCAACAACCCGAGCCAATGAGTGAATCATCAAAGATGCAAAGTCAGAGACGTTTACTTGTCGCGACAGCTTTGTGAGGCTATCGATGGCCGATTTCCTGATACTTTGAGGATTCTGGGCTCTCTCAAAGAGCCGTACCATAGATGGGATGATCAGATGCATGTATTCTTCCCCACTGGCGCCAAAGATGAGGAACGCGTGGAGAATCCTTTCTGAAGGCTGGCGGCGAGGCGTGTTGTCCTTCTCAAGAGTGTCCAACATTGAAGGAATCATGGCTGCCAGGTACTTTTTGAACTCACCCTCCAGAGACTTGGCTATCGCTTCAACAAGTGACAAGATAGTCGCTTGCACTTGATAGGATGAATCCCAAAATTCCTGGATAACCTCGATAATCTCCGGAAGGAAGGCTCGAATATGCTGTCGAACAATATTCACCAAGATAGCCATCTGATTGAAGTAGGATTCTAGGCGGCTAGGCGGCGAACCTCGGATGACCGATATGAAGCCGGGAATGATCTGTCCTAAAAACGGCACGCACTTCAAACCCAGAGTTTTGAAGATTGTAACAATCGCATCAATGACCGCAGAGTGGTACTGAGCGAGAGAATTCTCACGCAAGATATTCTGCATCAAGGTATGGATGACCACGGTTGGATAATACTCCTCGTTGGAAGGCGTGAGGCCCTGCATTATGAGGGCAACATCAGAAACTGTCTGAATTTCGTTGATATGGTGGACATCGGGTTCGATTTCACTGATTTGTTGGTACTTGTACGGATCAAGAGCACCAAGGATTCCCAGCAACTTGATGGTCTCTTTGCGCAGCGACCCAGTTTGCTCAGTCTTGATGATATTAATGAGAACGGCAAGTAAATGAGGATATTCCAGAAACGGATCGATGACATAGCCAGAGTTGCTGGCTAATTGGCCCAGCGTCCGCAAAGCCGACTCTCGCTTAGCATGCGAAGAGAGATCCTGCAACGAGTCCAGGATGATTGGCATGAGCTGCGGGAGGTAATTTCTCATTTCCGCACCCCCGACACTCGCAAGTTCCCCGACAGCTTTCAATGTGGTCGAGGCGACGCCTGGGTTGGTATCCGTCGCCTTCGGAAGTAACGTTGTCACCATAGGATCGACATACGACCTAATAAGTTTGGTCGCATTCGATACGAATAGGCTGATGAGTTGAGCACTCTCCTCTTTCTGTCGGGCTGTGCTCGCGAACCCAAGCCCTGTCAGAAGATTCACTAGCAATTTTCGTAGTGGCGGGAACACATAGGCTGGGTTGACGCTCGAAAGGCGGCCAATGATGCAAATTGCAGCTTCCCGAACGGCAAATACTTCGTCGTTTACGGCCAAGAACAGGCAGCGGATGTTTTCTGGTCTTGCGAGATGACGGTCGAATTTTCGATCCAGCGACCATAGTACGGTACGTCGGATCTCTGGGTCTGGGTCACCGATCCCGACAGTCAATAATTTATCAATAACTTCACTGACAACCTGTATGGAATGACTGCTTGTCTGATTGATGATCGGATCATGGACAAAAAGCTGGCAGCAGGTGAGCGCTGCAGCCTTCCGAATCTCAGGGTTGTCGTTCTCAACGTAATTAATAGCCACATCGCGCACAAATTCATTGAGAATGTGACCGGAGAAATCGAAACTCCCCAGTGTATGAAGCGCCAGAGCAATTTCTGCATCAGAGTGCAACTCTTGAGGAGCGAAGTCCTTTGCGAATGACGGCATGGGAGGTAGCCTGCTCTCTGGGCAACCGAGGGGACGGAACGGTGTCCCATGAAGGATCAGGCTGAGCATATCCAAGAGCTTTTCCTGAATGGTAGGTTTGATAGGCGGGATATAGTGAGCCATGTCGACAAGCGCTTGCGTCAGTGATTCGCTCAACCCGCAAGCAAATATAGGGTCAAGCAAAGATTCCATGTATTTACTGAGCGCCTGCTCAACAGCCAAAGATAGCATGCTGATGCACTCAAACATTGGTGCTTCATTTACAGCAGCTCGATTTCGACTGGCAAATGTTAGCTCACTTTCAATGACATGAGACCACAAAGACTTACGCTTTCAGGGCTAATCCTTCGCGTATGTAGATAATGATTCCATCAAGATACTGTGCAATGGCAGCACCCACTGCATTGGCGATTTTTCCAATCGCTATGAATGCTGCGTCTCGTTCCTTGTCTCTCTTCAGTTGTGCCTGCAGGTAAATCATGAACCTATGTAGGTATGTTTCTGTAAAGTCGACAGGCGCGTAGGAGGCGAGTATAGGGATCGTCTGGACAACTTGGGCCCGAATCTTATGGTCACGGTGATCCTTTAGACGGAGGACAATCTCACATGCATTCCGATAATGCTCGTTCATGAACATCGCTCCTTTGAGGAGAAGCTCCTTGAGTACTAGGAGCGATCCATGTACCGAGTCCACGTTGCTTGACCTAAGGCCCAGAAGTGCTTCCTCGTATATTCTTGCAAACCACAATTGTCGGACTTGAGCGTCTCTGGCAGCTATAATCTCGAAACACTCAGAGACCGCTTCCGCGGCTGTTTCTCGGATAAGAACCTTGGGGTCCCGCAGAGCGACCCAGATTAGATCGAAGATCTGTGGAACGAAGCCGTAAAGAAGAGTTGGCGAGCCCTTGGCAAGCTCCCTTATGACAAGCACAGCAGCGAAGCGCCTGCTTTCCTGTCGTTCAGACTGAAGCCATTCTAATGCTGACTGGATCTCGCTTTCGACCAATTCTGCAGTAAGAGCGCCGCCCGGCTTCGCCAAACGTCCCAAAGATCGAGCTGCATAGACCAACACTGCATTGTCGTTGCTGCGCAAGGCGCTGCGCAGATAACTAGCGAATCGCGTGGTTTTCTGAGCCGCATCGACACCATCGAAATCAATCAAGCGATCGAGAGCCAAAAGACCGCCGATCCGTTCATGTGCGTCACTGCCGGTGACCACGAGCTGCGCGATGCGTTGACTGACAGCGTTATAGAATTCGAGGAACTTCTCCGGAGGCCAATCTGCGGGGTTCGAAATCATTGAATATTAGCCAAGTTCGGGATGCGACCGAAGTGCGAAGTGTTACCTCTCGAGATAGCCAGGACATTATCGTAGAGCTCAAATGAAGCTCTTACCCGCGTCTCCTCATTCTTGGACTTCAACTCACTGAAGAGTCGCTGAGTGATGTCCGTGATAGGACCTGCTTGCGCCATGTTGGTAAACCACACCCCAGGGTGGACATTTGAAGTCAACCTCTAGGGCATGCAATTTAACACGAGGTCGACATAAAAAACAGGAGGTCGATGGGACAGCAGTGGGCATCAGTAGCAGTGATGGATGAGGTGAACGTCTCAAGAGCCTGGCGGGATCGTGCACGGACCACACCTGTTCTCGCCTGGGGCATCTGCTCAGTATCCAGTCCAAACTGATTACTCACTTGGCTATTACTTGGTCAACCTCTTTTCTGGAATTTCCAGAAACTACAACAACCCTTTCTAGTATGGATGATTATTGCAAGGCGCTATTTGTACATGGAGCTGAGATGCTCTTGAGGCAACTCTTCACCGGTTTGATATCTAGCCGAGAGATACCTTACTGCGGTTCTACATACAAATCGCCTGGATCGGTCAATAAAAGCTTCGGGACTACAAGCTGATTAGAGTTTTCGAAAGCATTAAGACGCTAGGGGCTCTCATTATGCGCTTCATCTATTAACAACTTGGATTCCAGACTGTGCAACCGAAGCTTTCTGTTCCATGGACTCGGGCACTACTGGGGTCCCAAATGTGACCTCATCAGATGACCCTGGTGTCTTGCACGTGTGCGCAAGCAACGTTCTAGAGCAGAGCCCAAATTCATTCTTTGCGCTATTTCCAATGCCTAATATTTACACAGTCGCTCCTGGAATACTACGCCTGATTGCAAGCATTCTACATCGGAACAAAAGCACCGTGGCAATCCCATGTTCACAAAACGAACGGTTGATTCATTCTAAGAGCATACCATCCGAGCTCGGTTAGCAAGCAGACTAAGGATCCATTGCCGCGAATCCCTGTCGCGTGTGTTGACAAGGAACGATTTCCAAACAGGGTTGACCTTTTGGACGGTTGCCCTACTCGAGGGACAAGACATTGACGTCTCTCAAGTCCGGCACCAGTCCATTCAGCATGTGCTATCTGATTCCAGAGCACAGTATATCCCAATGCAGACGAAATCAAGCTATGGGAAGGTAATGTATTGCGGCTCCTGCCTTTGTAGCAAGCTTGCGCGTGATTCTTCGCTTTTGAAGAGCTTCCGCTCGCAATACAGCCAAGGTACCTCTGAAGAGATTCACTCTGATTGGTTAGGTCAATTGACACAGGAAAGGGTTGAAATAGTTGTGCATTCCTTGCTTTCTTCAAGGAGCACAAGGGCCCTGTCAACCCGGCAACTCTGAGCACAGCAGGTCATCGGTGAAACAAGGTACGCCCTAAAGTATTTTCGAACCGGCATTCGGAATTGATAGAGGAGTAAATCACTCTGGATTAGTCGAGAAATCAGCCATGTATTCATAAGGAGACTATAGTTCCGATTCTAGAGCGGAGAGTCAAGACATTGGAAGTGATATTGCCAGCATGGAGTAGCCATAATCGACTAGTATTTCGCTAGTTGCAATGTATAAAAGCCTCTATATATTTTGCAGCCCATTTTCAAATCGGCTGTTATAACGGCGCCATGATACCCCGGAGAACTGACTCCTTTTAGCGCCTGAAGTTCCTACCTTGTACTTATCAGTGTTCGACGTCATCTGCTTTTGGTCGGAGAAACCCCACCAAACCGATATCTTACCCTCCCCAAATGGCTCAGGCCCAAAGAAGGTTGAGATATTGAATGGACTTCATCCCGAGTGTTAGCCTCCAGGAGATTAATCCGACGGACTTAACATGTCTTCTTTCCATCTATTTCCGCCTTCATTGACGCAAACTTTCTGTGATATTTGTAATCACCACGAGACCTCTGATTTGCTAGTCCATTGACAACCACAACAATAGTGGGGAAGATCAGGAACAACGTGGGATGCAAGACTAGGTACTTAAACACAGTGTGTCTCCTCAAGGACGTACGTTGACTTGTATCCCTCACTTAGGCATTTGGTGCAACCAGACCCTTCTCAATCACTGGCACAATGGTTAAAGTTCTTCTGACTGGTAAGCATCTCCAAGTACTATCCTGCCTTTGAGTCTGTAGCCTAATGCTCGGTCTAGGAGGAAGTGGCTTCATCGCTGCTCATTGTATCGATGTGCTGCTGGCACGCGGGTAAGTGCAGGATACCTAATGCCATGGGCTGTTCTGGGTTAGCTGACCGGGGTACAATACAGATATGATGTTGTGGTAACTGTTCGATCCGAGGAGAAGGGCCAGAAGATTCTCGAAGCTCATCCCAATACGCCAAAGGAGAAGCTGTCGTTTGTTATTGTCAAAGATGTCGCAGCAGATGGAGCTTTCGATGAGGTAAGTGCTTTTTCTTTCTTGAGGCCGTCAATGTCACTGGCGTGGTCCGTCCAGCAGCTCTAAGCTAATCGCTTTTAAGGCTGTCAAATCTAATCCACCATTCGACTATGTCCTTCACACTGCCTCTCCTTTCCACTTCAATGTTACCGATCCCGTGAAGGATTTCTTGGACCCTGCAATCAAGGGAACGACAGGTATTCTCAAGGCGATCAAGGCCTACGCACCAACGGTCAAGAGAGTCGTTATCACCTCATCTTTTGCGGCGATTGTCAATCCCAAGCAGCATGCCAAGGAGTACAGCGAGGAGAACTGGAACCCCGTTACCTGGGAAGAAGCGCTGGATCCTTCTGCAACCTACAGAGGTAGTAAGGTATGTATACAGCCTCGTATTTCGCATTGTGCTTGGCTGACATATGCGCCTACCCCAAGACTTTTGCAGAAAAGGCTGCTTGGGACTTTGTCGAAAAAGAGAAACCCAACTTTGACATTGCAACCATCAACCCACCTTTGGTGCTGGGTCCAATCGTGCATTACTTGAACTCGCTCGACGCCATCAACACTTCCAATAAGCGGATTGCCGAGATGGTCCGTGGCCATTGCAAAGACGGTCTTCCCCCTACGGGCACATTCCTGTGGGTAGATGTCCGTGATGTTGCTCTGGCACACGTCAGAGCTATAGAAGTCCCGGAAGCAGGCGGCCAAAGATTTTTCCTCACAGCCGGCTATTTCTCAAATAAGGCTGTCGCTGATATCATTCGCAAAGCATATCCTGAGCTGTCTGATAGACTACCCCCCAAGGACTCGCCAGATGATACTCCGGCTGACGTATACGGTTTTAACAATAAGAAATCAATCGAGGTCTTGGGAATCCAGTACCGGTCATTGGAGCAATCGGTTACAGAAACAGTCAAGTCGTTGTTGGCTGTTGGGGCATGAACAGCAAGAAAAGGTCGAGTATAGTGTAGAAATAGAGCTCAATGCATATATAGTTTGGGCCTTGGAAAAAAATATTTCAACCATTTTGAATCCATGACGAAATAAGAATAATAATATACCTCTCTGGATCATTCAGAGACACAACGGTGTAATCAGTAATTATTGGGGAAATCAAATAATTTGCGCTTCTGGGCGCTGTCACTCACCGTACTCGGCTTGGCATGCATGGTGCAATCAACTTTTCTCCAGCTCACTCCGCATCGAAGCGACAACATCGAGACATTACAGTTGTCTTCAATAACGCCCATGGCGACAGCCAGGTTATCGCCGACGGCGAATCTTCTTCGGAAGTCCCGTCTTTTCGCGCTTCCCTCAGCCTTACCGTTGCCCCAGCAAGATGCAACCTCGAAGACCGTTTTCGAATCCGACACCGCAACCCTGCCTCATCCGATCCGAGCATCCATTGTCACCCCGGCTTCATCGCTAGCGAGAGGAGATTGGGGTTTGAAGCGACCGCTACCTGCAAAGTCGACATCGGAAAAGTCGTCCCGGCCTGTCGTCCGCCTCAACGTACTCGACACATTTGAACATGTCACAGACTTCGAATCTGCCGCCGACCACACGGTGACCTTGGAGAAATTCCAGGAGCTTCACATGCCCATGTCCCTTCCTTCCAAGGTCAACTACGCGACTAGCATGGTGCCTAGACATCAAAGCCCTTTCGAATCCGTGGTTGACAATACAGATACGAGCAAAGGCCTTCAGCAGCCTGGTGCTAAACAGTTCAGACATTCTGGGCCTTGGCTCGCGGGACAGACAGAGGCGGAATTCAAGGCTTATCTAAATAAAGTGCGCGAGAGGAAGCCTGAGCTACTTCAGAAGCTTCGTGAGCACTTCATTGCCAAGCGAACTGCTGAACGCAGAAAGCAAGCCCAGGATAACGGCGAGGATCTAGAAGCACTTGGTCCGCTCAACGTCACCGAGGAAGAGTTCCAAAGGTACATCAAATCGCTGCGAGCCGATCCCTTCTCTCTTGGCCCCGTGGTATTTGAACTGTTGGATCTTCCATCGCCCCCGCCGTCCCTAGCGATCGTATCGGGCACAAGTACTACCAATCTCCTGGTACCAAACTCTCCTCTGCGGAGTATGCTGTATCTGGCCCCCGAAGACACACCCTTCTGCTGGTCTCTCATATACGCGGTCTCACGCTCTGATCTACAACCACCCGAAATTCGGACCCCAGGCATACCAACGCCCCGTGCAGGCCCGTATCCTGCGGCCGAAGGGTCGATTCAAGGGCAAAACATCTAAGGCTATTGCTGGTGTTGGTGGTATTGCGGTGGAAGATCTCAACGCCATGACTTTCATTGAACAAGGCTCGCCAGCAGGTCTTGGGTACTTCGACGCATCCATCCCCGGTGGTGGGAAGTACTGGGTTACTCCCATCCGTGCTTCGGTTGACTCGGACGGTAGAATCGGCCTCGCGTCATACCGGGCTAGTGCCACTGCTAAGGCGCCTTATGGTATTGAAGAATACCAGAAGCCAAGCTCGACAAGTATTTCCCCGGCCGCCCGTGCGGACCAGCGTGTGGTGCCCAGGTTGGACAAACTGGCAAATTTGCCCTATGCTCGGAGGGGACAGGATATGTCTGCAGCAGACCAGCCCGATAAAGGTAGAGAAGACGTTGCACGAAACCTTTTGAGGACCCTCAGCTCTATTTAAGAGCTTGTCACGAGGTCTATATCTGGTGATACGGAGGGCTGCCTGTACGATTAGATTACTCTTATTTCCTACTGCTCTATTGATATAAAGTTTGGATGCATTATGTAAATTAAATTCTGGGGGCAAATGAACATATCGAATATCATTCTAAACTCACAAGAAGTGCTGTCAATGGCACAAGCTTGGCAATTCAACACTCATCTGAGTACTTCGTTGATAAGTCCGAAAATAACCTACCTAGATATCTACTTACCTCATTGGGAAAGGTGTACTTCGATGCAAGGTTAGACTGGCGACTAATTTCTTGGCGCTTTAGTGAGGGTAAGGCTTATCATGTGATCATAGTTAGGGTTTCCGCACACCAGGCTCTCCAATATAGCAAGAAAATAGGATCGATTAGGTCTCGTCTTCCGAACATCCATCCCGCCAGCACACAACCGCCAAAATGGGTCGCGTTAGAACCAAGGTAAGTTAGAGATAAAGCATCATGAGTTATCTTCGAACGAGAGCCAAAAGAGTGTCAATTCTGACGAAGTGGGTTTTTCTTCAATAGACAGTCAAGAGGTCCGCCAAGGTCATCATCGAGCGCTACTACCCCAAGTTGACGCTCGACTTCGAGACCAACAAGCGTCTTTGTGATGAGATCGCTATCATTGCCTCCAAGCGTCTTCGCAACAAGGTAGGCAATCTAATATTGAGCCGTAAACAGCTGTCGGAATATGACTTGCTGACGAAAAACTAGATCGCTGGTTACACCACCCACCTTATGAAGCGTATCCAGCGTGGCCCTGTCCGCGGTATCTCTTTCAAGCTGCAGGAGGAGGAGCGTGAGCGCAAGGATCAGTACGTTCCTGAGGTCTCCGCTCTGGATGTTTCCCAGACCGAGTCCGGCCAGCTCGATGTCGATGCCGACACCAAGGACCTCCTCAAGTCCATGGGCGTAAGTTCTGCTTCTCGACGCGTTTGTTCGTGGTTTAAAAGCAGTCCGTTAACTCATCTTCTCAACTACAGTTCGACAACCTCAAGGTCAACGTTGTCAACGTCTCCCAGCAGCAGGTTCAGGAGCGCCCCCGCCGCTTCCGGTAGATACGCGCACCCTCGGGCCTCAATGAAAAAAGTTAATGATTGTCTTCGGTCGGTCTATGGCGTGCTCAATCATGCTTGCTCTGGCTGGCTTCGCAGCTATCATGTAGCCTAGAGACACAGGAATGAACATAATTCTCGCTGAGAAAGGTGTCGCCGATTCTCCTGGTGGAGATGACGCTTGATTGCCAAAATTTCTCCTTTTGCTTACTATCCGCCTCGGCGCGGACGCTGCGTAGGAGGTTCTCTCTGCATGATGTCCAGAATGTCACCAGAGAGTCGCAACCTTTCTTTTGTGCGAACTGCACCATCGACTGCACCGCATTGGATCAAATTCAGTTTATTCCAGTCTATCTACAACAGTAAATTGGGTATCGTCATCAACACAAAGACGCCGTAGAATCACAAAACGAAACATCCCATCGAACTCTGCCGCGACCAGGCCCATGTCAAATGACGAGATTGGTGCATATCGAAATCACATCTCCTTTGGCACGTAGCCTTCAATGGAGCCTCCTTTGTCATCGCCTGGCCGCATTTGCGGAGGGGTGACCTCGTGGGAGACATCCTCATTCTCTCGGATTGCTATGTCCACTCTGCCGGCTCGAAGAGCTGGATTTGCATCTCCACGTTCCATGGCGAGCTCACGAGAGCGAGCGGCATCAAGAAAAGATATGCCAGAGATGCCGCTTGCAAGATCATTCGGCCCTTCAGTCCCTTCCATGTGAAGGTCTTCCAATTGACCAGTGACTTCTTTCAAGGTGGCTGAACTGCTCATCTTGCTCTTTCCTTTCCGTGCCCTTGCTCTGTCTTCTTCGAGTAATACGAGCTCCTTGGCGTGGCTCCCATCCCGGCGCTCCCATGCAGGTTCCTCTGCCAACTGCACCCGTATATACATCGCTCGTTCGGCGCATTCGTCCGAACACCACATTTCGAGCTTCTCTTTCGGGACAATATTCATCTCGCGGCCACGACCCCAGGACCACTACCCTTGGCGCCCCATGTGATCCTGAACTTGCCTTTAACATCCTCTTTGCGGTGCTCGTTGGGACATAAACCATATCCACAGAGGCCCTCGATGTTACGTTCAAGAATCAAATTATCGTAGTCAGCAGGTTGGAAGGGAACGAGGGCTGCTTTGAAAGCTCGAGCGTCTTCAGCAGACGGAGTGGCGGGGTCTGCCGACGGCGAAGAAGGAAAATTGACCAGCTCGAGGATGCGGTCTAGGATGAGAGCTTCTGTGTCTTTCTGTGCCTGAATCTGGTGCGCATGATGCATGGCGATTGCGAGATGTCGTGGGTCGACGTTTGACCTGTTCGTAGGTTGGCCCTTTTGCTGCTCGGGCGCCTTCGACTTGGATGGCGCACGACGGGCATTGCTGGGCTTTTGTAGTGCTGCTGTTGAGGAGGCTGCATGTGCAGTTGGAAGAGAAGTTTTGAGAATAGGTTTATTCGCGGACATGATGAGCTTTGAATTTGAATGACCTCAGCAGCGACACTATCGTTGTGCTCAGTAGCAGAGTAAGAAAAGCAAAGAAAATGAAGCTGATACAGTAGTGGTGTTTTGTCGGGCCGGCACGAGGCAAACCCCGGATTCGATGAAAGCTTTTACTGAGCCAGCAGTGGGATGATGTAGCTGAGATTCAATTAAAAACAAGCACCAAAGGAAAATACAGTTGAAAATTTGAGTACTTGAAAGTAGTAGTGCCTTAATCCAATGTATCTTGTTAAAGGATAACCACCATTTCTGTAAAAAGTGAAATAGAAGTGAGCATTGTTATTAGGTAGCCGCTGATCGCCCGTGGTGGAGCACCCTGTCCCGCCTGACAGTGACGACCACCACTCGCTGCTACGAGCCTACTGCCACCTCCGTGATTCCCCTCGATGTCTCCTCCTCTTCGTCTTCTCTAAACCCCTCGTCCTGTTATTTTCTACATCCTTGGCATTAAATCACACAGGCACTGTGTCTCATCTAAGATCAGTTCCCCTTTGTATAGTGAGTGACTTATTTCAGTTACCAGTCTCAGGGTGCTCGCTTGCCTTAGGGGCATATACTCTGACGTACATACTGTGGATCGATCAGGCTGACAGATTACTCTCTTTTGCATCCAGCATACATTCCTTCATTCGCAAAGTGCATTTCCATATGACCGACTGCATTGAGATCGTCCAGGAAGGCTTCTCTTAATAACATATAGAGCTCCTTTCTCCGTCCCTCCTTTGTGGACCACCCGCAGCGCTTCCACCTTACCATTTCGTGTCGATTAGCCTAATATTTCGACTACAAACAATTCCTTCGCAACAGAGTTCGGCTTGCCAGATGTCCAGCCCGCCGTTCACGGTCAAATCGGTCTTCGAGTATACTTCGGACCATGATGATGACCTTAATTTCCCAATCGGCCAAATCATAACCGTTACTGCCGAGGAAGATGCGGAGTGGTACTATGGCGAGTACACGAATGACTCGGGGGTCAAGGTAGAAGGCATCTTCCCGAAGAATTTCGTGGAGAGGTATGAACCTCCTGCCCCCCGCGGCCGACACGCCCTAGCAGACCAAAGAAAGAAGCCAATGCTGCCGCTCCGTCCGAACCCGCTGCTGCGGAAACTCGTGCAGAACGCCTTCCCTCTCCGGGGCCAGCACCGGAGAGCGCCCTTTCGCTCGAACAGGAACCTGTTCTCGAACCGCCCAGATCACCTCCGGTTACTGCGCAAGCGCCGGCGTTTGAGGTCTCTTCTCCGCCACAGCCAGTTCAAGCTCAAGCTCCAATCCCGGCGGCCCCGCCAACCGCTCCCTCGGAGTCAAGTGAGCCGAAAGAGCCAGCCACCAAATCGGCATCTAAACCAGCACCTCCCCCGGTCGCAGAGAAACCTAGTGGGTCATCATTTAAGGACCGGATCGCGGCTTTCAACAAACCCGCTGCGCCGCCTATCGCGCCTTACAAGCCAGGGGGCTTCGGCGGCCAGAATCCGACATCGTTCATCAAGAAACCATTTGTTGCGCCCCCTCCAAGCAAGAATTCCTTTGTGCCTCCGCCTAGAGAGCCTCCTCCGAAGATCTATCGGCGGGAAGAGGATACGGAAGTACAGGAGCGTGCTATGCGCGAGCCTCCGGTTTCTGAAAGCAGACCTGCACCCACCGAAGCAACTGAAGAAGGGGCGGAAGATCAGCCAAAGCCAACCAGCTTAAAGGAGCGAATTGCTCTTTTGCAGAAGCAGCAATTGGAGCAAGCGGCTCGCCATGCTGAAGCAGCTCAGAAGAAGGAGAAGGCTAAGAGGCCACCTAAGCAGCGTATTGAATCTCACGAGGACCGCACCGCCGTGGAAGAACAGGAGCATGAAGGCTCTGGTGCAGCTCCATCGGCGAGGGATCACAGTGTCGAGACCGTGAAGCCTGGTCCTCTACCTGAGGGACAGTCAGGAACCCCCCCGCCTGGACCGGAGCCGGCCAGTGATGCTAACGACGCTGACTACTCCGCCGCCGCTGATACTGAAGATGCGGAAGAGACTTCAACAAGCAAGGAGGACCTCGAAGATCGTTCTGGGACCGAGACTCGTCAAGCACCGGAGCCTGAGAAAAAGAAAGAAGCTAGCGACAAGCTTGAAGAGGACGAGGGAAATGAGAGTGATGAAGAAGAGGACGAGGAAGAGGAAGAGATCGACCCCGAAATCAAGCGTAGGATGGAGCTCAGGGAAAGGATGGCCAAGATGAGCGGTGGTATGGGTATGATGGGGTTCTTTGGTCCTCCTGGCGGGATGCCTGTTCCGGGCGCAGGACCTCGCAAACCAAAGGCAGCTGCGGAGGCAGAGAAAAAGACGGAAGACTCAGATCGGGCTGCTCCAGCAACTGCTCCACCCGTCCCCGTGATGGCGCTGCCGGGAATGAACGCCGTTAGGCCAACAGCAGCTTCTCCAAGCGTAGAGAAGGAAGAGGATGTGCCTCAGCCTGCTTCCGTCACCGAACAGCATCCTCCTCAGGAAATTCCTGATGTAGAGGACGTCGTGGAGGAGGATCCTTCTCGTCGCGCTCCTGATGAGAGGCCTGCCGCACCTCAGGGTACGCATCCTTGTTTCCTGCGGACAATGATCGCAGTCACCTTTGGACCATCACTTACATCTTACAGAGCGTCCAGTACCCCCGCCTCCGCCGAGAGAAACACGGCCCGCCCCGCCTCCGATTCCTCAAGACCGGCCGCTGTCTTCACCGGCTGTTCCAGGTGGTGAGTCTAATGATTATGTCTCCCTATATCTCGAGGTTGGCAGCGCTGACATCTAGGAGATTCTCGACCTGTCCCTCCTCCGCCGAAGACTGCGACGACTTCTGCTGATCTCGGTGAAGAATCGGACGACGAACTTTCTGTACGTGCGACGGATCTCTCTTTGAATGCCACCGAAGCGGAGCAGGAACGGCCTGCAGCTGCTCAGTCGGCTTCGGCTCCTCCCCTTCCGGACCATCTCGATTCGCGGCGCTCCTCAACCTACGAACCTACCTCTCCAAAGTCTCCTACTCTCCCCTCGGAGAAGAGAATGAGTCGCCCGCCTCCGCCGATCCCAACAAATCCACCGATGTCACCACAGTTCCAGGGCAGGGCTCCTCCCCCGCCACCTCCTGGCAACATCCGCCGTAGATCAACTGCAGATAGCAGAGCGAGCGCGGTCTCGCAACCTCGCCAAGCTGGTGAAGACCTTGAGGGAGAAGTCACCGAGTATGATGGTGATTACGATACGGATATCGCGTCTGGGGCCAAATTCAAAGATGCCTTGAAATCTCATGGCCGCGATTCTAGCGTTGACGAAGGTACTATAACCGATGACCATTCTCTTCAGTCTCCACGAAGCCCTCAAGAGACGCGCCTTCCTCCTCCACCACCTCCTTCTGCGCCCAGAGCCGTTCCACCGCCGCCACCCATTCAGCCACCGAAGAGCAGCGGAGGCGCTTCTCTTGAGTCTCCTAGAGGACCACCACCGCCGCCTCCTCACAGAGAGCTGTCATTCGGAGGGGAAGAAGAATATGATCCATATCGCTATTCTGCCCCTCAGCATGGTGTGCCCGCACCGAGAGTTCCACCTGTGCCTCTTGGCCGCCCAGAGTCACCCCCGGTGGCTCCTTCCCAGGCTGCTGAACATGATTCCGAGGACATGTACGACGCGTCTCCCGCCGTCCAAAGCCCCTCGGAGAGATCAGCAGCTCCGCCTCTGGAAAAGAGATCTTCTTTTGCGCCTCCTCCCACTCTGCCACCTAGCGCGCCACCCCCGTCAGCGCCACGAAGTAATCGTGCATCTTTAGACATTCCTAGGGGCCAGCCTAATCTGCGGAGATCTATGGATGCGTCTCGTCCGTCCATAGATCAAGGCTTCATTGCTATGGATGTGGATCTGGCGGAAGGCTCTCTCTGGTGGACACAGCCTAATACCCCTCCGCCTGTTTTCCAAAATCGCAAGGATGTTCTCTTTGAAGCGGAGGAATCGACGTCCACTAAGCGGGGCGGAAAGACCACGATTTCCAAAGATGTCTATGTCCTGTTCATGGACTATTCGCAGACCGTGATCACAGTGGCATATGACGCCCGAAATCCTTCCGATGTGTCCTTGGAGCAGCGTCACGAACCTCCACCGCTGCAGCCGCGCCAGGACCAGCTTGAGAAGGCGCATGCGCAATTCGGTACCCGTATCTCGGATGCTGTGAACGCTATTCAGAATACAACTGTCTCGGATGGTACTCCGTTTGGCTTGGTCCAGCATCTGCTTAGTCCATTGAAAGATGCACTCCTCCCTGTCGGTACACGCGCCTATGGTGCCTTGGTTTATGCAAATTTGGCCAATGCATCTGTGCAACAGAACGACGAGATCCGAGCTGGAGATATCGTCACTTTCCGCAACGCGCGGTTCCAAGGCCACCGAGGCACAATGCACCAGAAATACAATGCTGAAGTCGGTAAGCCGGATCATGTCGGTATTGTCGTTGACTGGGATGGTACCAAGAAAAAGATCCGCGCATGGGAGCAAGGCAGAGAAAGCAAGAAGGTGAAGGTAGAGAGCTTCAAGCTCAATGATTTGCGAAGTGGAGAATGCAAGGTGTGGCGAGTTATGCCTCGAATCTGGGTAGGCTGGGAGAGTTGAGAATGCCTGGCCATGACGCTACGTCAGTTGCAAAAGCACTCTCCCTGAGATTTACGGGCAGCCATCGAAGTGGGAGATTGTATGTGTTACGTGTACGGGAGGAGATATGATCTCTATCTGCCCTTGCCTTGTCTCCTTCATCCTTTAATATTCTGCGAGAGATCTACGAAAGCGCGGGCGGTTGTGCAGATACCTAAGCTTTCAAGTCGATTCGGGTACATGTTTAATTTTCTTTCATGTACATGGATGGCAGGGAGCTGCTTCGTTAGTTGCCTGCAGTTATCAGATTTCCTTCACCGACCATTTGATCACTTTCAAGCCATTTATTTTCTGCTTCCATGTATCTACTAATGCTTTGTCTCAATCAAACTGCCTATGAAGTGTTTGTAATGGCCGTCTATCACTGCATAATTCCCACTGAATATACATATCAGAGGTTACATAACATAGTGGAGCATATGTTGTCCGTTGGCCTGTGTTTGCTGCAGGTTTGCCAGTTCTGATGCCTGAAATTAAAGGCACCAATAACGGTGGCAACCTGATTTCCGTCGTTTCCTGTTTAGGCATTCAGCCCAACTCCGATTTCCTTATCTTCAAGAGCTTCAACCAACTCTTGCCCCGCAACCAACGCAGCGTCACGGCGTCATCACTGTCAAAATGGGTGGCGATCTGAATTTGAAGAAGTAAGTACCTACATTTCCACAGCCGCAACTATCCCTTTTTGTATCGCTCTTACTCACCAAACATGTCAGATCATGGCACCCATCGCTGCTCCGCAATCAGGAGCGCGTGTGGGCGGAAGAGAAACGAGCCCTAGAGGAACGCAAACGCATCGAGCAACTTCGACGTGAACGGGAAGAAGAGCGCCAGATTCAAGAACTACAGCGCTTGCAAGAAGCTTCGGGGAAAGGTCGCCAGCTGAATCGGGTCGATTGGATGTACCAGGCGCCGTCGAGCGCAACAGGTCACTATGCCGAAGAGATGGAGGGATACCTATTAGGCAAACGCCGTATTGATGGGATTCTGCTCAAAAACGATGAGAGCAAGAAGCTGGAGAAGGGGACTGATGTCGTGGCGGCTAATGCCACCCCGCCACCCGTGAATAACCCCCGTGACACTATGGCGAAGGTCATGGCGGACCCGTTACTCGAGATCAAGAAACGCGAGCAGGCTGCTTATGAGAATATGGTGAAGGAATCAGTGAGACGGAGTCAGCATATCCGTGACAAGGATCGTGATAGGGATCGTGGTGATAGGGATAGGGAACGCCGTCGTGACCGTGGTGACCGAGATCGGAGTCGCGATCGGGATCGCAGCCATAGGCGCTCGAGACATGGAGATGAGGATACACACCGTTCTCACCGTCATCGATCACATCGGCACAGGTCTCGGTCTCCCCTGTCGCCAGACCGGGCCGACAGGAAACGGGGGATGATCGAGCTTACAGAGATGAGAGAGATAGACGGGATGATCGCAGAGATGAGCGCAGAGACCGTGATCGGAGCCATGATCGTCGGAGTGAGAGAGACCGCAGAGCAGATAGGGAAGACGGAGACCGTCATTCCAGCAGATACAAGAGCCGTGGTGACCGATATGACGACTCCACACGGCGAAAGTCTTATGAAGATCGTTCGCCATCTCCTCGACGCGGCAATCATCACTCCGATAGACGCCTCCCAGAGGACAGGAGCAATGGGTATCGCAGAGACTCGAGAGACCCTGGTCGGCCAGAATCATCCTCCCGAGGCAACGACAGGAGAGATAACAAGGAACCCAAAGACTCGAATCCTAGGGAACGGACCTGGAATACTAGAGATGAAGCTGCTGGTAACAAAGAAAAGGATCTGGAGGAGGAACGCAAAAAGAAGCTGGCTGAGATGATGTCCAACGCAGACGAGTTGGAACAAAAGCGTCTTCAGCGCATTGTCGAGGTCACAGCTATGGAAGAGAAAGAGCGCGAGGCAGACGAAAAGCAGCGTTCTGAACGAGGTCGCTTTGTTGGTCAACTCCATCGTCAGCTCCAGGAAGATAGTCTGGACGATCGGATTCGACGCAGTCGTGGTGGCTTGGAAAGGATGGAGGATTAAGGAACGCCATACCATGTCTTGGGCGTCGTCATCACCTATGTTCTTGGTTCTTTTATTGGTTATTATGTATTGGGGCTTCTCTATGGCGTTCAATTCCGGCATGGGGCATGAAATTAGTTTCAAGCAGCTGTTATACCCTGGACTTCGCAGCAAACCAATAGCTTTGCTCTCGTTGCGCACCGGCTGAGAAAAAGAAAAGTAATTTTTTCGAGCCTTGGGCATCGGTTCCTCTTCCACGCCAAAGTTAAGATTCAGTATATTATCGGCTTGAAGTAATACAGCGGAGTTCAGGAATGAGAATGCCATAATTGGATTATACAGGTATCACGAAGGGCTGCGGTTGACAACGCTAGATTTAAGTATAAAAAACATTTCCTACAGAAGAATCGAAAAACCTATCCTACATTAAAACAATAGCAACTCGCCTGTCGCCGCCCCGCCAGCCAGCTGAGGCTGGTACACCTGCTGCTGGTTCTGGTTGACCACGTATTGAGTCTGCGAGGCTCCACCACCGCCAGCACCGCCATCTTCTCGACCACCCAGGTCGAGTGCCGCCATCTGCTGGCTTCCGACGCTGTTGAAGTACATGTCTGCGGCGCTCACGGCGGCATTCATGCTGCTTGCACCGGTACCAGAACCGTTCGTCGGTGATGCATTGGCCATAGCGCCGGAATCCGCCCCAGTACCGGCGAGGAATTGCCAAGCACTACTTCCGTTCTCGTCTTGAGGTTTCTGCAGGGCAGGGCTGTATTGCAGTCGTCGGGTCCGCGCAGAGCGGAAAACTTGCTGGACGGGTTTGAGGTACACAGTTGCCAGCGTGCCGACGTTCAAGCAGAGTTCTTCTAGGGTGCGCGAATCCAGCTTCTCGCTTTCTGCGCTGATAGGGGGTTTCTGGCCCATCACGACCTGCTTCGCGGTAGCCGGGTCGGTCGACAGCAGACGCCAGTACATGTACCCTCTATCCCTGAGATCCGGGTCGTCTGTTTCTTCTGTGCACCATTTTAGGACCTGAGGTACGAGCTGTTGGCCCTTGGTGGGGCGTTGGATAAAGAGCTTGACGGTGGCTGTCAAGAGGGCGAGTTGCACTTCAACCGTCTCGTCGTGGAAGGTGGCCAGGTAATCCTGGAGCAGTCCGTCCGAGTTCTCAATGCGGTCTGCATATTGCCCGATGATCCAGATGATGGCTGCCTTTGCTTCTGGTTCATCCAATTCGTCGATATTCTGAATGACGTTGCTGATAATGCTTTCGTACTGGTTGGGATACTTGCGGAAGATATTCCGAATGACAACAGTCGCCTCTTGCACAATATAAGGGATTTTGGCATTAACCAACTCCAGGAGAGTGTCGATGCACTGCCGTGCTGCAGATTCAATTTTGATGGCCAGTTTCCCGATGGCACGAACGGCTTTTCGCACGAAATGAACGTCGATCTCGGTTGCATATCTTTATACTGAATCAGTCAATGGACATATTGTTGGGGAGCATTGGACTCACTCTCGCAACTCCGCTAACACAATTCCAATATTTTCCTTCGTGGTCAGCATAAATATTAACTCGAGTTTTGTCACTTTGACATAAATCGGGTCATTGTAGTTGCAGAAAAAGACTCGGATGTCGTTCCTTAGAACTTCGGGTCTCTTCTGTAAAATGAGAATGGCATTTCGGAGAGCCAAGTACTGCACTTCTGGAGGTTTTGACAGCAGAGTAACAAGAGGTGGTGATAGCTTCTTCGACAAAGAAGTGATGTGCCTTTCATCGGCTATGTAGTTCATGAGATAGAGGATGACACGGATCGACGTGAGGACAACAGAGGAGTTGGAGTGGGAAAGGCGAGGAGCTACACGCTCAGCGAGGAGGAGTGCTTCTGCTGTGTCCTGAGGCACATATGACATCAAAGCATCAAGGATGTAAGTTTGCCCCCATCTAGTTAGTTAGCAGCGCGGACAAAGCATACGGAAGGATCAAGGGCAGATCGTCTTACTCAGAACAGTCTGGTAGGATAGAAACAAGTTTTGAGGCGCTTGCATAGTCAATCGTCAGGGATATCGATTCACTTCGTCCCCAGATATCTGTCAAAGAAGCAAGAACACTCGACACGACGGTTGGATTCTCATCCTTGAGCATTCGATTGAGCCGATCGATGAGGTCCGAGCCCTCAACCATCTTCTTATCGTGCTCGTACAGCTTTGAAACGCAAAAAGCTGCAGTTTTCCGAACATAAGGATCAATGTCCCCCATCAAACGTTTAAGAGGTTGAACGGTTGCTTCGACGAACTCGCGAACGTGCACATATGAGATGGTTCGCAGAGCCAACGCGCGCACAAGCGGGTTCGAGTCGTCCATATCCTGAGACCCAATGTTAGCTCATGAATAGGAACATTTATCAATACAAGATCGTCCATACATCTACCAATATGGGCAGCGCCTTCAAGGCAACATCGGGCTTCATCCTTGAGTAGTTGACCAGGAAGAGAAAGCACCTATTGTACAGAGTCAGTCGTCCATAGGTGCCTGCGCCTTGTATCTGCGATCCTCCCCAGGGACGTACATCTTCTTTATCTCCAGGCTGGGCAGGTTCATACAACCAATCACATCGGGAAATAAGGCGACCATGTCATTGTTGCTCATGGTCATATTGGCAACGATCTTCTTGAGCGCTATTTTCTTCGCCGAGAAATTCTTGTCCTTCTTGCCGCCGCTATTGAGCTCCTGTCGCAGCTCCGCAACTTTGCCCTGTGAAGATTGAGTGAATGGTAAGCCATAGTTGGTCGCATAAGGAAGCACGGCGATGAACATAGAGGGAAAAGTGATTTTGAATCATATAAGTAGATAATCGATCTGATGGAAGCAAGTATACAACGGCAGGTGGGCTTCTGGGAGAATACAAGGGGCAAGAATGCCAGCCAGCTTCGTCATTAGACGACTCTTCAAGACAAGACTCGATGTGAGGGGGAAGCGAGGGGAAGATAAGGCAATGCGTCAATGGAGTGCTTGGTCGCACTTCCATTACCTGGGTAGGTCCGATGACCACCAAAGCAAGCATATTAACATACCCTAGCGAACAGCTTCGCATCACCCCGCTGGAACTCATGGTGTGTGGCTTTGCGGACGGGCAAATAGAGTCTCCTTAGCTCCTTTCAAGTCTGCGAAACGTTTCCGTGTGAGGATCGGACTCGGCTTCGATCGCGGATTCACATGAATCTTGTCAAGGGCGATTTAGAAGAACGGATGATCGTTCCAGGTGGCCGTGCTATTTCCCTTCAGCTGCTCTGCTCCTTCAACGCCTCCATGCCTTTGGGAATCGTCGTGGTGCCTAAGTCGTTTTCACAAAGTGTCCGTATGGCAGATGCTCAAGCCTTCTCTGAATCAAGTCTGGGTTTGGCGTGGAATATCGCGCCGTCGGGGATATCAAGTAATAGACACAAAGACTCAAAATAAGAAAATGAAATTATATGTGCCAGATATCATTGTGGTTTAAACGTTCTGGATCCGTCGAACGGTTTAGGGAATCAGGAGTGGATCGGCTGCCGCCAGCTCCGCGTGCTTGTGGGGAGTTTTGACCACCGATTAGATCAACTCCGTCCTGACCATCAATCTGCATCATTTGCAATCTTGCTCCAACTCGCCGGTCTCTCACGGATTTCGGCTCCAAAAGAACGGCGCCGACCGTGTCCTTGCGCCAAGTCATCCAGTATGGCTTCCAAACCTTTCAATCCTCCACCACCGCCGCAATGGGTGGTTGCGCTGAACACCCCTATGCCGCGTCCTACCAAGGCCGCATCCAGTATCCCTGATCCTCCGGGATTCTCCAGCAGCAAAGTACTAGGCAAGGGCGTAAGTCACTCTCTATGCGTAGAATTGTCTGCGTGAGCGCAGTCATCTTCCGAAGCAGACTAACTGTGTTGTTATTTAGCGTGCTCAACAGCAATCAACTACCTCCACCACCGCTAAGCCTGGCGAAACCGATACTCTAAAGCTGAAAAAAGCATGGGAGATTGCTCTCGCTCCTTCGAAGCAGATCCCCATGAATGCGATCATGATGTACATGTCTGGAAACAGCCTTCAGATCTTCAGTATCATGATGGTCTTCATGTTGTTCAAAGGCCCTATCCAGGGTTTGATGAACACGAATACTGTCTTTTCGAAGTTTGACACCGAAGGTATTCGCGGGCAGTTGATCGGAGTGAAGGCCGTTTATGTCCTGATGCAACTGGTTTTGCTGGGATTGGGAATTTGGAAGGTTAATGCCATGGGACTTTTGCCGTATGATCTATCACCCTTGTGCTCATCGCGGTTATCTCTCGCAGATTTACTAATACGAAATTCCAAAACAGGACTACCAGATCAGATTGGCTTGCTTGGGAGTCGGAACGACAACCTCTGGAGCGAGCTTATTTTGCTTTCGGTTAAAGTGTATATCCACAAAAATCTTTCAAATAGGAACAATAAGAAAGCAACGGAAATTCTGCTCTTCTTTGCACTTGCTACATTGGTTCATGATGCCCCTGATGTTCAACTGTATATACGGTCAACGTATGTACATCCGTGGCTCGTAAAAAATATTGTTGCCATCACAGTGTTGCTATGTTACTCTCGACCACGAAGCGCTTTATCACAGGCAAGGTGGAAGATTTGGGCAAATCGCCACACCTCTACATACGTGTTATACAGAGGTGCCGGTGCAACCCGAATGACGTCTGGTTTCCTCTCGTCTATGATTACTGCATCCTCATCCAACGATTCAAGGACACGGTCGAGAAGGCCTGGTTGGAGACGTATACTCAATTGAGCTCCACGCTCTGCTGGATTTGAGGGAGTGATGATGGTGAATGGTCTTTTCTCGGAACTCTCGGTTTTAGGGTCGCAGAGAAGGAGGTGTTCCAGGTATCCTGTGAGGTTCAAGGACTTTTTGCGGATTTCAGCCATCGATGTTTGATTAAACAATTCCAGTGATGCCATTACTGCATTCATATCCAGAACTGATGGGTTGGATAGCTGAAACCCGGCCGCTCCTTGCTGGGGCACGAAGTCTGGTCATACAAAGTCAGAAATTCAATATAACACACATCTGAATCGGCGAGATCAACATACGGTTGTTCATCAAGAAACGAGTTTGCTTATCCCCTCCCCACCAGCCAGAAAACCGCGGATAGAAAGCCTCCTTCCCAGATGCGGCCTGTTCCATGTCCACTCGGCCATGCCTCTCATGGACAAACAAAGCTGCCATCCCTCCAGGTCCGGCGTTGAGGTACTTGTAGGTACACCAAGCAGCAAAATCGACGTTCCAATCATGCAGTCGTAGGTCAACATTGCCTGCTGCATGGGCACAATCCCAGCCAACAAGAATACCTTTAGACTGGGCATGAGCGGTGATCCTTTGAATATCGAAGTATTGCCCGGTATAGAATTGGATTGCGGATAGGAGGATCAGAGCAGTGCTATGCGCATTCTCATCGATGACTCGGAGGATATAGTCTGTGTCCAGAATGGGCCGATCAAGGTCTTCTGGCTCTATAAGGACCATGGCATCCTTTGGGTCGAGCTTGTGATGCCTGATCTGGGATTCAACGGCATACTAACTCGGATTCCTGTTAGCTTTGGCCGCATAACGTTGAAGACGGAATCATCTCCAGAAAACGTACATGATCACTCGGAAATGCCTTGCCTTCGATGACGATCTTATATCTTTCCCGAGTGGGTCGATAGAAGCTGGCCATCAGGAGGTGTAGGTTGGTCGTTAACGTGCCCATCACTGCTACTTCGCTTTTTAGTGCACCCACAATCGGGGCCATGAGTTTGGCTCCAGCCTCGTCGACATCAACAAATGGAGGAAGCAGCTGGTCGTCATGCGGAACAAAATGACCGGTTACGCCCTTGGTTGCCCATGTCCGAAGGTAGTATTCGATGTATTTCCGGGTGCTACGGGGTTGAAGGCCAAGCGAGTTGCCGCAGAGGTAAATACATTCTTCATCGGACGTCTCTTCAGTTTCTGCAGCATGGACGCAGACACAGCTTGTATTAGCGAAGCAAATGGGGCGTCCACACGAAGCCGTACGTACATACCATCGTTTGGGAACAGAGTCTTTCTTTTTAGATCCTTTTTTGATGGAATGATAAACTCGTCTCTGAAGCGCCGCAAAGGGTCTTGTGCATCTAGTAACTCTGCATACTCTTTGCAAAATGCCCTGATATCATCTTCGTAAGGAAGCGGGGGTCCGCCCTGAATTTCCTGAACATGTAGTCGAGAACCCATTCTGCGTGGACTTTGCGTGAGCGATGGTGTAAAGTATATCTCGCCTAGACGCCACAGATTACTGCAAGACGTTGTCAGTTTCGTGAATGGGCTAGGCACTTCATGGCAACATTGTCCATTGCGCCTCGGGGTTGTCACCCCTCCATGACGACTATCGTCGACGGAAATCATTATTCTGCCGCTGCTTACCGATGCAACTGACCAATGGCGTTATGCGGAACCATCTGACTAACGGGAAACTTATTGGTGTTGCAGGATATATAATCAAGGTTGCCGATGACAAACAAGCATTGCCTTATGCAAAGGACCTGAAAATAATATGCGACTTGTTCGACAAACATCTTGACAACTCCTAAATTCTACCGCAATAATGTCTCAGCCAGCGTTATCCTCAGCCGTTCTTCGTCTATCGCGACGCCAAAACATGCCTGGTGTGGCGATCGTACGCTTCACATCCAGCAGAGCATCAAATTCGGCCTGCCGCTTGTCCGCGCCTTTCTCCTCATGCAGCACCACTATTCCTCGGTCTATTTCGAGCTCTCTGATCCCTTCCACAGCCAATGCTTTGTTTCGGATCCCCTCCACAAGACGTTCTCTGAATTACCGCCCACGCTGTGCTTTCTCCGCATCAACTGCTCGGGCAGGCGCGAAAGTTGTACAGAATCCGAGGATGGACGATGAAGGGAACACGTTGATGATCAATATTTCTCCTCGGGCAGCGGAGGTATGTTGGATAACTTTCTTAAAATTGTGGCTCTGCCCCTTTCCGGAAATCGTGCATCAGACCATGAAGGGTACTATCTGCCGTGGCATCCTCGGGATTTACATAACAGCGCTTTATCGAGAGGTGAAGAGCTGCGTCACCGGGGTATAAGCCTCGTTGAACACAGATCTAGCACATACGACCATAGGGTGTGGAAAACAGGGCTTCCCGTCCGCTCAGCCGTACTTAAGCCACACGCCGGCCGGTTAGTAGTTGGGTGGGTGACCACCAGCGAATCCCGGCTGTTGTATGTTTTTTGATGACCTCTCTGTTTTTGGCTTGTCCAATTTGTCTTCTCTTTCACCTGTTTATTTTATTTTATTTTCTTTCTTTTACTTCTCATTCCCAAGGAGCATATCATTTTTCAAGAGTACTGACTTCCTGGCCAGCGTCTTCGAGAAATCACGGATTCATCCTCTTCCCCGTCGGCAACAAAGGAGGAGAATCCATACCACCATCTTCGGATCACTGTTACCAGCGGAGGTTGTCACGGCTTCCAGTACCTCATGTCTCTCGAGGCAGCCTCGAAGATAGACCCCGAGGAAGACACGGTATTCGAAGCGGAACCCGAACAGGGCACGACCTCGGGGCCCGGCGAAGCAAAGGTGGTCATGGATGAACCCTCTTTGGAACTCTTATCGGGGAGCACGGTGGACTATACGATGGAACTGATTGGCAGCCAATTTAAGATTGTTGATAATCCGCGGGCAACGAGCAACTGCGGTTGCGGAACGAGTTTCGATGTCAAGGATTAAACAATCTCCTTGGCCAGGATTTGGATGGTGAGATATCAGAACCGACTGCACATTCTCTTCGATGTATATCACAATATTTTATCAGATAGAGTAATAGATACCATACCCCACTTCTCGTTTGGGTGATGAGCTGGGCTTCTATACCCACCGAATCTTCTTGTGACAGGCTTATAAATATATATTATGTGCAAGTTGAAGCTTGGCCGGGCCAGTCTCAAGGAACCATTACTGAAGTGAGACATTTCTTTTATTTGCAAACATGATGCATAGACCGTATAATAAGGAATTAGAGAAACATAAATGTAACATTTACGCCCCTGAATCAACCATCTAAACTCATTTTGATCGCGACGAACCCGTGTCCCGAGAAAATCAAGGCCGTAAACCTGGGATACAGCTTGTTAAGAACAAACGAGAACTGAAAATGAAGATAAAGAGAAAATGGGGGACACGGAACAAGATTTATCACGAGAGTGGCTAATCCTCCCCCTACTGCCTCTTTTACCCCTCTGTTTTCTTTCAAGGAAGAATGATTGGCACCACTTCAAGATTAGGGTTTTCCAAACGCCCTATTCCCATCGACCACTTAGCTGCAACCTCTAGCCCCCTGATCGGCTTTTCATAACTCCTGGAGCGGTTGAGGCGTTACCGCTGGACTGCTCGGTGTCCAATGGAATGCCTGACATATCCTCAGACATAAAACATACCTCATTTCAAAGCCTCAGGCAGAGGTTCTGAGTGAAAGGAAGTGGCCATCTAGTAAACTCTGGCCAAGTTTCGCAGGTACCAGTCCACCAGACGGCGGCCGGCCTTGGTTTCGCTGACGTGGATCAGGTCATTCTCCAACGCATAGTCGAGGTCATTCGCGCTGACGACCTCACCCTCCAACAGGCCACCCTCAACCCAGCGCACCTGACGGCTGCGCTGCTTGTTCACCAGCAGCCAAGAGCGGAGAACCTCGGGCTGGACCTCAAGGAAACCGGCGAGCTTCTTCAGGTCCATAGTCGTGTAAAGCTTGAGGTACGACCGGATGGTAGGGTTGTACAAGGTGTTCTTGACCTCGTCCATGAAAATAGCGGTGTGGTGGTCGACAGGGTCGATGTTAAGAGCCGGGTTGTCAAAGTCAGGGGGAGTGGGGCTGATGAACTTGGGGCAAGCGGAGCGGAAGAGCTCCTCGAACAGAGGAAGAGCATCGGGACCGCCGTGCTGGAGACGAAGAAGCTGCTCGCCGTACTTCTCACGCAGAGCCGAGTGGATAGTGTCGTCCAGACGAGTGGGGTGGAGAGCCACGCAGATCGCGATCAGAGCATACATCTGGTCGTTCTTCTTAGCAATGGCATCATAGTTGTTGCCACCCTTTTGGAAGTTCTTTGTCCGCGAGACATAGACCAGAATGTGACTGAACATGCGAATGGCGTCGCCGTAACGACGCATCATCATGTACGAGAAACCCACATAGTAGTAAGTGGTGAAGTGGGCTGCCATGACACGAGCGAACATGGCCTTCTTGTTCATCTCAATGTCATCGAGGGTCTTGAGAGCAAGGCTGAAGTCTCCCAACAAGCAGTGGACACGCAGCAGACCGATGATAGAGAAGTATCCCAGCATCTTATACAGAGGGCGGGAGCCGTATTCACCAGCGAATGCCAACGGATCCTCTCCGCGCTTCATAGCAGCCAATTGTTCGTTAATCTGCGATTTCTGAATAAGGGAGTAAAGAACGTTGAGGACGGAGTAGCAGCCCCATGTGTTCGGGTTCTCGCGCAGGAGTTGTGCCTCCTCTTCGTTGGAGCCGCTGCGGGCGACACGGTTACGGTAGCGGCAGAACGATTCAAACTGGTAGATGAATTCATCGATCACATCCCAGGCCCAGTAGTACTATATGAAAGAAACAGGTATGCGCAGTTAGCAATTGTCTCAACAGCGGCCATAAAATGACATTGGCGAAACCGCGGAGAAGATACACAGAGCCCGTGGAGATTTGCTTCCATAGAGCAAAGTGGGCCAGAAAATGAGTACGTACAGATGGCACCTCCAGCTCGACAGGGCCTTCGGAGTTCAGGATGTAGTGGAACAGGCTGCAGTAGTTGTCATAGCTTGCGAACTTGGTCTCGAGAGTGGCCTGGTATTCAAGCGGGGTGGCAGCAGCGGCAAGCTGAGCCTGGAGATCTTGTGTTTGGGAACCAGTCCCAAGGGATGTTGTCCGCTCCAGCTCGCTCATGCCATCGTCAAAATTCACTTGCTCGCGGTAGTCGTTGACGAGGGCCTCCTCCTCGACATCGGACTCGTCGCCCAGGTTAGGGTGCGCATTGACGCGCTCTTCGTACGACATATTGACTCTGGAGGTAATCCGATAACGGGAAAATATCCAGTGAGATCGTATCGGTATCGGTCGGCAAGCGAGAGCTGCGGAGGGAGATACGTCGTTCGGCGGTGCTGGTTGACGTCGGCGTGTGGGATAATTGTTTCGGCGGCGTCGAATTTTGAGGGTTTTCGCTTGAAGAGGTTTGTGTTTATCTTATCTCTGCATAGAAAGTGAGCTGAGTCATCTATGCATTTATGCCGTAAACATCACGTGATATTCAATGACTGTCATACAGTAATCTTTCCAAATCGGGAAGTTGCTTTCATATCCCGTGCATATCCCGTCCTTGCCAGGTGTGAATTCTACCTAGGTATGTGGCCATGACGGAGCGAAAGAAGTCCTAAGCCGAGAACCAACAAAAAATTTTCCTTCCTTCAAACTGGAATGTGCTTATCTTCAGGCTATAGATGAGAAGCTCCGTGGCTTTTCTTTCTCTGTACCATCATTCGGATTAGGACTGAGATTTTTATCATATATGAGACCTCCAAATGGGTAGGAATCACGAACATGCAGAGCCTAGAGCAAACTAGCAAGCGGAAATAGACTAGTAGTCCTCTCCGTGAGTCCGTGTGTCATGATAACATATTTGGGTTTCGTAACCAGGTCATTGGAGCTCTCCAAAGCTGCTCGTGTGAAGGACCATGCATAAGTAGGGCTTGAATCACTCAACTGGGCAAGACCTAAGGTAAGGTAAGCTCCAGGGGTTTCTCCGGGTTCAGTGCAACATCAAGTTTGTCTCCCATGTGGAGTGCCGGTGGCCCTGGACTCCTGGAGTGCCATGTCCTGCCCTGCCATTTTGGGGGGGAAAAAAGCCTGTAAAATAGTCTACTCCAGGAGGACTATTCTATGACAGCCATACCATACGGGACGATCGTGAGTTCAGGTATATGGTGGATAATAGGTAGTGTGAAGTATGGTGTCAACCATGGATTAATGCTTGGATACATGACGCAGCTATTCAGCAATATTCGTAGAAGCTCGTACTTACCATGCTTACATGCTGGATCTACCATACAAATTCCATAGTACCTAGTAGCGTGTTGCAAGTCGGTTTGCAAGTCATACAGGATACCATACCCCGTAGCTTCAACTTACCGTTCTCCCGTCGGGTAGCACACTTGTCGTCCATATGCCACCCATCCCTCCCTCCCTCCATTGCTTTGACACGAACTCGAATAATCTCTCCAAGAAATCAGGAAGCGAGCATTCCAAACAAAGTCTCCAGTCATAGAGTTCATTGAATTTCTTGACTGTATCTGGTCAAGCCAGCACTTCCAACCAAGGACGCTGTTCTATCATGACTGCCAAATGACACAGGAATCGGCCATGCTTCGTTTTTGTACATCTTCGATATGATGCATGCTCTTCAGCATACACGTCCTGTCTGATAACAGGAATCTTTTGTCAAAACTGACTGCTTCCTGACGCTCGTTACTGAACGCTTTACCATCAGATAGATTTCGTCTTCCGTCCCCACCCTTCGTCTCCCGCCTCGTTGGCCCCTTTCACAAGACTTCGACTGAGCCCTATTCATTTGCTTCATCAGTATTCCATCTGTTTCGTACATTGGCTTACCTGGAGGTCATCAAAGCATAATGGAGATGGGTTACCCAGAGCCTAATGCAAGTAACCCGCGGCCCTTGCAAAGGTATCAGCGCCCACTAGAGACTCAATTCTCACGATCATCTCCTCCACCTTCGTCAGCCTCCTCTTCAACGCGACCAGGTACCGACACGTCTCAGCAAACAATTCTTGCGATTCCTCATCGCACAAATCGGTGGCCAAAACAAGACAACTGCTATTGATAGCGTCGAGCAGGTATCGTGGAATTTGTTCGAGACCGTAAGTCTGGCGCTGCTGACGCAAACAACAACCGATTTCTTTCGCAGCCCGAAGTCGAATTTTAGTCGCTTCTTGGATCTCTGGTGAGTGTTGTGGTTGTTCGGGCATCATGTGCTCCAAAAGAAAGCTGAACATCGACATGATTGTTTGGTGACACTTGATCCTGCAATTATGGGTGAGCACTTGATTATTTCGTACTGACACAGACCACAGGCTTACCGCAGGAACGACATGTGTGGCATAAACTGATCTTCATCTTCCATAGCGCCCTTCAGATCTACGAGCCACGTTTCTAAGCGCGAAAAGAACACCCTCGCCGCTGCCCAGAGTTGCTCGACGGTTATCTCGAACACCTTTTCAAACAACAGCTCCTGGATGTCCACCGTAATCAGCGTTAGGTCGGCCAACCTCCGCATGGCATAACGAAGACGGGCCGGTTTTCTGACATAGTCGAGCCTGTTCGTAAGAGGGTATGGACTCCACATGGTTTTTTCGGTAGCTTCTTCCTCGCTGAACAGGTTGGAGTCGGGATGTTTCAAGGCCGGCGCCCTTTGTAGTTCCATAGATACCTGCCTGTCACAAAAGATCAGCCATGCATGCGCCACTGGATACTTTCGGCCATACGAGTTCATGATATAAATTCCCCATGCAGTGATTGCTGCAACACGCTGAGATTGGACGGACCACGTCCTATGAGGTACTGCTCTTGATGCCTGGAAGAGTCCGAAGTCTTGGGCAAGTTGCACACCTTGCTTAAGCATGAGCCAGCCGAGTTGACCCTTCCCTTGAGATTTCAAACTGATTCAGAAACATTAGCGTCTTGAACC